CTAGAGTAAATGTATAAATGTAGTATGCGACCTAGAGTAAATGTAAAAATGTAGTATGCGACCTATCAAAGCCATTTATGTTTTAACCAAACATCGTACAGATGTCGCTGTCTTAGTCCAATTAGATTAAATGTTAATTTCATTCCTTAGTTCAACAAGAAATCTAAGATGCTCTTGTCTAGTTCAGATAATCAAAGTAACTATTTAGCGTAACAGGTCCAATTGGCCTCTTAGCCCAAAAAGTCAAGTCTCATATTAACATGACTTTTGAATGAAGTACACATGTTTCATATATGACTTTGTATGTAAGTACATAATCCTGATAAAGAGTATGTAGCTTGCCGATGAGAGGATGTCAAATATGTTAAAATCTTCAAACGACTTATTTCAAACGATTTAGCATGATTGAAGACATTAAATTTGTATTTGCTTGGATGAAAGATTACCGAATCATATTTCTGATCATTATTGTACAAGTTTCCATGAAAGCGGTACGGGCCCTTTGGACCGTTTATTTTATTTCTTCTCATGTTCGTTGTTTGGCTGATTAAATTCTATAACGTCTTCCGGCTTTGGTTGCTCGAGTACTAATTACCGTATTTAAACAAAACGAGGTGCAGATACTTCAGTCAGTATGCCTGCTACACAAGTGATAGCTGTTTAGTTGTTTTGTAATTAAAGGCGGGTATTCTGGCCACAGTTTGTTGGGGTGGGATACTATAAAGGGTGTAGAAATACGTTAACTTGACCGACTGTCAAGGTCACGGGGCTATATATTTCAACCTTGTAATGTTTGAGTATACAGTACCATTATGCTTTTAAAAGGTATGATATTTTGCTTTAACTCGCCGAAGTAAAACGTTATCAACTTTGTTTCAACAAAATACCCTAATCCTCATTTAAGATCACAGAAGTCAATCGTATTTAAAACTTTTACTTTTTTATAGATTCCTGATGCGCAGTGTTAAGAATGGACGTGTGACATGCTAAGATAATATAATTAGTCAATTGAAGCAGCATTTGTTTAATGTATCGAGATGTTCAAAGCAGAAACACACACGTTTTCTAGGCCCGTGAGTCCAAACCAAACTGAAGGATCCGCATGTCAAGCATGTAATTTCGTCTGCAGACAATGCATCTAATAACTTGTCTATTAACACCAAATATTGCTTGTTTAGAATAAGCAAATTCTAGAAATACATTATGCAATTTTCGAAAAACAATATACAAACTCTTATCCCTTCTGTGTTACATTTTTTCCGGACCTGCCTCGATTGTATTGGATTCCAAAACTATAAGAAACATTTCAAACAACGTATTATCGCTGTGTCAGCTCGTGTTAAACCATGCAATATTCCAAACTTCTTATTTTCATTCTTGTAACACTGTATACTGAAGAAGTGGACCAATGTGGATTTTGAAGCATTCAACTGATCTTTTGATCAATCTTCAACATCCTCTCCTCAAACATGTTCCTTCTTTATCAGAAGATTTGACCTGTTTACTCTTTACTCTGTTAAAACTCATACCGAACTGAAGGAAGGCATTATGGGAGTTTTCTGTTCCGAGAAATGCTAACGGCGAAACAAGTATCAGGCTGTATACTGGAGCTGTTTAAGTTAAATTAAACCGCGACACAACGCAAATATCAAAATACTGAAGATGAAATCGTGAGAATGATTAAGTCTCTGGTTGCCAACATCTGTGTATGTTCTGTTGCAAAATTTTCTATCAGACTGTCGGCATTTTTCCATTGGTAAATTAACTGTGCCACTCTTTTTTTTCTTGTAAGGCTGAATGTATTGACGAAGTTTTTTGTGAAATTCTTTAAAAAAATCTTTACTTTGATCATGACCAAAAGAGACGACTTATTACTTACCTAGGCTAAGTGTGAACTTGACTTTTTCTTGATAGCAACATCCCTGCTTCAGAAAAAGGTTCATCAACGTCATTATACCTTTGTGAATTATTGTATATTTTTATTGAGCTCATCAGAGTTCGTTGTGGTTTTGTTGTTTCTAACCCGGTTCTCACTATCATGACGTCACAGAGACTAAGATTTACATGGCGGATATCGTCGATGTAGCAGGAANTAAGATTTCGATGGCGGATATTATGACGTCACAGAGACTAAGATTTCCATGGCGGATGTCGTCGATGAAGCAGGACGTTACAGAGACTAAGATTTCCATTGCGGATATAAATGACGGCACAGAGACTAAGATTTCCATGGCGGATGTCGTCGATAAAGCAGGACGTCACAGAGACTAAGATTTCCATGGCGGATATCATGACGTCACAGAGACTAAAATGTCCATGGCGGGGGTCGTCGATGAAGCAGGACGTCACAGTGACTAAGATTTCCATGGCGGATGTCGTCGATGAATCATGACGTCACAGAGACTAAGATTTACATGGCGGATATCGTCGATGAAGCAGGACGTTACAGAGACTAAGATTTCCATGGCGGATATTATGACGTCACAGAGACTAAGTTTCCCATGGCGGATATCGTCGATGAAGCAGGACGTTACAGAGACTAAGATTTCGATGGCGGATATTATGACGTCACAGAGACTAAGATTTCCATGGCGGATGTCGTCGATGAAGCAGGACGTTACAGAGACTAAGATTTCCATTGCGGATATAAATGACGGCACAGAGACTAAGATTTCCATGGCGGATGTCGTCGATAAAGCAGGACGTCACAGAGACTAAGATTTCCATGGCGGATATCATGACGTCACAGAGACTAAAATGTCCATGGCGGGGGTCGTCGATGAAGCAGGACGTCACAGTGACTAAGATTTCCATGGCGGATGTCGTCGATGAATCATGACGTCACAGAGACTAAGATTTACATGGCGGATATCGTCGATGAAGCAGGACGTTACAGAGACTAAGATTTCCATGGCGGATATTATGACGTCACAGAGACTAAGTTTCCCATGGCGGATATCGTCGATGAAGCAGGACGTTACAGAGACTAAGATTTCGATGGCGGATATTATGACGTCACAGAGACTAAGATTTCCATGGCGGATGTCGTCGATGAAGCAGGACGTTACAGAGACTAAGATTTCCATTGCGGATATAAATGACGGCACAGAGACTAAGATTTCCATGGCGGATGTCGTCGATAAAGCAGGACGTCACAGAGACTAAGATTTCCATGGCGGATATCATGACGTCACAGAGACTAAAATGTCCATGGCGGGGGTCGTCGATGAAGCAGGACGTCACAGTGACTAAGATTTCCATGGCGGATGTCGTCGATGAATCATGACGTCACAGAGACTAAGATTTACATGGCGGATATCGTCGATGAAGCAGGACGTTACAGAGACTAAGATTTCCATGGCGGATATTATGACGTCACAGAGACTAAGTTTCCCATGGCGGATATCGTCGATGAAGCAGGACGTTACAGAGACTAAGATTTCGATGGCGGATATTATGACGTCACAGAGACTAAGATTTCCATGGCGGATGTCGTCGATGAAGCAGGACGTTACAGAGACTAAGATTTCCATTGCGGATATAAATGACGGCACAGAGACTAAGATTTCCATGGCGGATATCGTCGATGAAGCAGGACGTTACAGAGACTAAGATTTCCATGGCGGATATCATGACGTCACTGATACTAAGATTTCCATGGCGGATATCATGACGTCACAGAGACTAAGATTTCCATGGCGGATATCGTCGATGAAGCAGAACGTTACAGAGTCAAACAAACTTTAATACCTTATAAAACAATCACAGGTTTTGATTATTGAGTCAAATACACTTAAATAACTTATAAAACGGTTTCTTGTTTCGAATTGAACCCTGCTTAATTTAGTACTTGTTTTATAAATCCACTAATTTATTATTAATTTTATCTAAAAATTAAAAGGAACTAAACACATATTAAATATCAGAGACTAAGATTTCCATGGCGGATATCATGACGTCACAGAGACTAAGATTTCCATGCCGGATATCGTCGATGAAGCAGGACGTTACAGATACTAAGATTTCCATGGCGGATGTCGTCGATGAATCAGGACGTTACAGAGACTAAGATTTCCATGACGGATATCATGATGACACAGAGACTAAGATTTCCATGGCAAATATCGTCGATGAATCAGGAAGTTACAGAGACTAAGATTTCCATGGCGGATGTCGTCGATGAATCAGGAAGTTACAGAGACTAAGATTTCCATGGCGGATATCGTCGATGAATCATGACGTTACAGAGACTATGATTTCCATGGCGGATGTCGTCGATGAATCAGGACGTTACAGAGACTAAGATTTCCATGACGGATATCATGACGTCACAGAGACTAAGATTTCCATGGCGGATGTCGTCGATGAATCAGGAAGTTACAGAGACTAAGTCGTCGAATATTGAGTCAAACACACTTTAATACCTTATAAAACAACCACGGGTTTGATATTGAGTCAAACACACTTTAATACCTTATAAAACAACCACAGGTTTTGATATTGAGTTAAATACACTTTAATAACTTATAAAACGGTTTACTGTTTCGAATTGAACCCTGCTTAATTTAAGTACTTGTTTGATAAATCCACTAATTCATTATTAATTTTATTTAAAATTAAAAGCAACTAAACACATATAATATTTAACCAATGATTTAAAATGCCGTAACATACTGGCAAACCGACAGTCAATAAATAGGATTATTGAGCATTGCAACTTGATAATGATTAACAACGCTTAGGACACATAGGGATTGAGTTTGTTCTTCTGACAATTGGTGGTTAGTTACTGGACCTCACTTGTCCAAGCTAGGTCCCCTGGTCAGTTACTGGACCTCACTTGTCCTAGCTAGGTCCGCTGGTCAGATACTGGACCGCACTTGTCTTAGCTAGGTCCGCTGGTCAGTTACTGGACCTCACTTGTCCTAGATAGGTCCGCTGGTCAGTTACTGGACCTCACTTGTCCTAGCTAGGTCCGCTCTGTAGCTGTCTACATGATGGTTCACGTGCACAATCTCCCATTTTTTCATCCATGGTCCTGGAACTGTCGTGTCAAACTCATCCTCTTCCTCCTGGAAAAGTAATCAAGCAACACATCACAGCAATTAATCGTCATACTGAACTCATTATCAAAAGTCGGCACGTACTTAACTCATCACAGCAGTTAATCATCATACTGAACTCATTATCAACACTCAGCATGTACTTAACTCATCACATCAGTTAATCATCATACTGAACTCATTATCAAAAGTCAGCACGTACTTAACTCATCACAGCAGTTAATCATCATACTGAACTCATTATCAACAGTCAGCACGTACTTAACTTATCACAGCAGGTAATCATCATACTGAACTCATTATCAACACTCAGCATGTACTTAACTCATCACAGCAGTTAATCATCATACTGAACTCATTATCAACACTCAGCATGTACTTAACTCATCACATCAGTTAATCATCATACTGAACTCATTATCAAAAGTCAGCACGTACTTAACTCATCACAGCAGTTAATCATCATACTGAACTCATTATCAACAGTCAGCACGTACTTAACTTATCACAGCAGGTAATCATCATACTGAACTCATTATCAACACTCAGCATGTACTTAACTCATCACAGCAGTTAATCATCATACTGAACTCATTATCAACACTCAGCATGTACTTAACTCATCACATCAGTTAATCATCATACTGAACTCATTATCAAAAGTCAGCACGTACTTAACTCATCACAGCAGTTAATCATCATACTGAACTCATTATCAACAGTCAGCACGTACTTAACTTATCACAGCAGGTAATCATCATACTGAACTCATTATCAACACTCAGCATGTACTTAACTCATCACAGCAGTTAATCATCATACTGAACTCATTATCAACACTCAGCATGTACTTAACTCATCACATCAGTTAATCATCATACTGAACTCATTATCAAAAGTCAGCACGTACTTAACTCATCACAGCAGTTAATCATCATACTGAACTCATTATCAACAGTCAGCACGTACTTAACTTATCACAGCAGGTAATCATCATACTGAACTCATTATCAACACTCAGCATGTACTTAACTCATCACAGCAGTTAATCATCATACTGAACTCATTATCAACACTCAGCATGTACTTAACTCATCACATCAGTTAATCATCATACTGAACTCATTATCAAAAGTCAGCACGTACTTAACTCATCACAGCAGTTAATCATCATACTGAACTCATTATCAACAGTCAGCACGTACTTAACTTATCACAGCAGGTAATCATCATACTGAACTCATTATCAACACTCAGCATGTACTTAACTCATCACAGCAGTTAATCATCATACTGAACTCATTATCAACACTCAGCATGTACTTAACTCATCACATCAGTTAATCATCATACTGAACTCATTATCAAAAGTCAGCACGTACTTAACTCATCACAGCAGTTAATCATCATACTGAACTCATTATCAACAGTCAGCACGTACTTAACTGATCAGCAGTCATTGTATCTAACAAAATAACAAAAGTCATAAATGCAACTTCACCATAACGACTCGTCATTGCAACCTTACGCCTTCTACCTTATAAGCAATTAGCAATCCTATAACACTCATCAGCGAGTCTACAACAACATGTATACATGAAAGTTATTCATGGTTCTTTTGATTGCAGCTACTGAATATATATCTTAAGTGTATAACCTTGTACACTTAACGAGATACCAGTAAATCAGTAACTCATAGTATCGAGATACCAGTCAGCCGTTAACTTGTAACGTTTCTTATACAGACAAAACGGATATAACTACTTGCTTATTTGCTGTATCTTGAATAAAGAGATAAAAAAAAATCTTTTTTTTCTTGCTTTGCTAGTACATTGTATTAATGATACTGTATGTTTTATAGGGATGAGTTACCTCCACAGCCGCACTTCGCAGGAGTTTGTGGCGGACAGTTCTGTCGAAGTTCTCCCACGATATTTTAAAGTTTGGATCTTTGGCAGTCCTCATTAGCACGCCCTCCTTCAGACCGTAGAATCCATTAGGTAGGCCAGGTTTCTGCCAGCGTAGGTCAAAGCTCCAGCGGATGTCGTTTGACAAATTTATGAGGCTACAAAATCACAGAAAGTAAGGTCAATGGTTGGTCCTGTTTGTGGTTAGGACGGGTTGCAATATCTTACTACCAATTAAGTCAATAATTTAAACGAGAGGCTAATGACCAATTACCTTCAAGGACAATGTTTTTATTATGTTATTAGTCAATAAGACCATGCAAACAAGTCAATAAGACAGACCTTTCTTTTACATATGTAGGTCATCGATGGCTATTCGTCAATCACATTATCAAAATCGATACTTCTGACAAACTTATCGTTGGGATATTTAATGACAATTTAAATACATTAAAAGTCAATTTGTAGGTCATCAAAGGTTAAAGGTCGATGATCAATACCAACAAATGTGGCAAACCCTTTTAAATGGTGTATTATGTACAGGTTGTTAGTCCACGTGCCTGGGACATGTGTTGACCGGGCTCATTTAAACAGAGCTAAAGTGCTGTACTAAGTACATCTGTACCTTAATATGCTTTAATATCACGTGGTCTTTTGCATGTCAAATCATAGATAGAAATGCAGAATCAACGTATACAATGTACATGTACAAGCTACCTCCGATAGTGCCTCGAGAGATGTTATTGTCATTTAAATTGGTAAGAGAATAATTGTATGCAGTTGTGGGCATTTAATATACATTTTCTATATCAATTTTTCTCCTTATAATGCAAATCTTTTAAACTAGTTTATATTTTGTGCATGTTGTAAGATTTGTCTACCCTCACTATCACTTTGTCAGTGATAGCTGGACAAGCATTGTAGCCGATTCGGAAATCTACCTTCTATGAGGTATGATGTTATTGAATAACAGCATTCCGCCGTAGGGGACCTCGCACGTGACAATGTCTGTATCCAGGTTTGTACCTATAAATAGAACAGAGAAAAAAACCCAGCGTATTTAGTGTTCATTCAAATCCATGAGAGAATGTCGCTAGCAAACGATTTCAGACCCAGTGAGCAAATGTGACGATTATAACGTATCCACCTGAATATACAGTGTTTCCCGCGATCTGTGACATACATTGGACTGTACCGAATCTTTCAGATTACATTTATGATTACGTATTTGTACTTGAAAGATTCAAGTGCGCTTTTGATTAAACCAACTTCCTGGATATATAGCAAAGGTGCTCTACAAAAACGGAACAGTCAAAATAAACAACAAGAGGATACCTAAGTGTCAACAAAACCATACAAATCACGCTCCAACTCGATAGAGCTAGGGCAAAATGTAAACGAAAGATTTACATGGAGACCACTGAAAGTACAAGCAGAATGAAACCAGGTGTTTTAGAACAGGTAAGCGTCTTCTGCTTCATCGATGACACCCGCCACGTAAATCTAAGTCAATTCCAAGTTATGTCACATCCTCACATCGAGAACTTTGGTAGAGACGACAAAATCACAAGGCGCACTAATGAGCTTAATCAAAAGCATTGACCTCAGTATCACACCACGAAATAACCTACATCACATCGAGATGATGGATATGTAGAAAGATTGTATACAGAGCTGTGAAAAGCTAGCATTTTGTCTTTCAGAAAATCGAAAAATTATCAAGCAAGCCCAGTTCTTGTGGCCAGCTGGCAATTACAACTACATACCCACCATGTAGATCTTTGCGTGTAGTTTGAATATTATTGTCAAGAATCACATTATGTTGTCTTGTGTGATCTTCCATGGAATTCATCAGTATCTTGATATGCACATCCCATTTGATAGAAGGAGTCTCTCGATACTTAGGACCCTTTATGAGGAGCTCCCGTAGCTTGCATTATGGTACTAGGACCCTTTATGAGGAGCTCCCGTAGCTTGCATTATGGTACTAGGACCCTTTATGAGGAGCTCCCGTAGCTTGCATTATGGTACTAGGACCCTTTATGAGGAGCTCCCGTAGCTTGCATTATGGTACTAGGACCCTTTATGAGGAGCTCCCGTAGCTTGCATTATGGTACTAGGACCCTTTATGAGGAGCTCCCGTAGCTTGCATTATGGTACTAGGACCCTTTATGAGGAGCTCCCGTAGCTTGCATTATGGTACTAGGACCCTTTATGAGGAGCTCCCGTAGCTTGCATTATGGTACTAGGACCCTTTATGAGGAGCTCCCGTAGCTTGCATTATGGTACTAGGACCCTTTATGAGGAGCTCCCGTAGCTTGCATTATGGTACTAGGACCCTTTATGAGGAGCTCCCGTAGCTTGCATTATGGTACTAGGACCCTTTATGAGGAGCTCCCGTAGCTTGCATTATGGTACTAGGACCCTTTATGAGGAGCTCCCGTAGCTTGCATTATGGTACTAGGACCCTTTATGAGGAGCTCCCGTAGCTTGCATTATGGTACTAGGACCCTTTATGAGGAGCTCCCGTAGCTTGCATTATGGTACTAGGACCCTTTATGAGGAGCTCCCGTAGCTTGCATTATGGTACTAGGACCCTTTATGAGGAGCTCCCGTAGCTTGCATTATGGTACTAGGACCCTTTATGAGGAGCTCCCGTAGCTTGCATTATGGTACTAGGACCCTTTATGAGGAGCTCCCGTAGCTTGCATTATGGTACTAGGACCCTTTATGAGGAGCTCCCGTAGCTTGCATTATGGTACTAGGACCCTTTATGAGGAGCTCCCGTAGCTTGCATTATGGTACTAGGACCCTTTATGAGGAGCTCCCGTAGCTTGCATTATGGTACTAGGACCCTTTATGAGGAGCTCCCGTAGCTTGCATTATGGTACTAGGACCCTTTATGAGGAGCTCCCGTAGCTTGCATTATGGTACTAGGACCCTTTATGAGGAGCTCCCGTAGCTTGCATTATGGTACTAGGACCCTTTATGAGGAGCTCCCGTAGCTTGCATTATGGTACTAGGACCCTTTATGAGGAGCTCCCGTAGCTTGCATTATGGTACTAGGACCCTTTATGAGGAGCTCCCGTAGCTTGCATTATGGTACTAGGACCCTTTATGAGGAGCTCCCGTAGCTTGCATTATGGTACTAGGACCCTTTATGAGGAGCTCCCGTAGCTTGCATTATGGTACTAGGACCCTTTATGAGGAGCTCCCGTAGCTTGCATTATGGTACTAGGACCCTTTATGAGGAGCTCCCGTAGCTTGCATTATGGTACTAGGACCCTTTATGAGGAGCTCCCGTAGCTTGCATTATGGTACTAGGACCCTTTATGAGGAGCTCCCGTAGCTTGCATTATGGTACTAGGACCCTTTATGAGGAGCTCCCGTAGCTTGCATTATGGTACTAGGACCCTTTATGAGGAGCTCCCGTAGCTTGCATTATGGTACTAGGACCCTTTATGAGGAGCTCCCGTAGCTTGCATTATGGTACTAGGACCCTTTATGAGGAGCTCCCGTAGCTTGCATTATGGTACTAGGACCCTTTATGAGGAGCTCCCGTAGCTTGCATTATGGTACTAGGACCCTTTATGAGGAGCTCCCGTAGCTTGCATTATGGTACTAGGACCCTTTATGAGGAGCTCCCGTAGCTTGCATTATGGTACTAGGACCCTTTATGAGGAGCTCCCGTAGCTTGCATTATGGTACTAGGACCCTTTATGAGGAGCTCCCGTAGCTTGCATTATGGTACTAGGACCCTTTATGAGGAGCTCCCGTAGCTTGCATTATGGTACTAGGACCCTTTATGAGGAGCTCCCGTAGCTTGCATTATGGTACTAGGACCCTTTATGAGGAGCTCCCGTAGCTTGCATTATGGTACTAGGACCCTTTATGAGGAGCTCCCGTAGCTTGCATTATGGTACTAGGACCCTTTATGAGGAGCTCCCGTAGCTTGCATTATGGTACTAGGACCCTTTATGAGGAGCTCCCGTAGCTTGCATTATGGTACTAGGACCCTTTATGAGGAGCTCCCGTAGCTTGCATTATGGTACTAGGACCCTTTATGAGGAGCTCCCGTAGCTTGCATTATGGTACTAGGACCCTTTATGAGGAGCTCCCGTAGCTTGCATTATGGTACTAGGACCCTTTATGAGGAGCTCCCGTAGCTTGCATTATGGTACTAGGACCCTTTATGAGGAGCTCCCGTAGCTTGCATTATGGTACTAGGACCCTTTATGAGGAGCTCCCGTAGCTTGCATTATGGTACTAGGACCCTTTATGAGGAGCTCCCGTAGCTTGCATTATGGTACTAGGACCCTTTATGAGGAGCTCCCGTAGCTTGCATTATGGTACTAGGACCCTTTATGAGGAGCTCCCGTAGCTTGCATTATGGTACTAGGACCCTTTATGAGGAGCTCCCGTAGCTTGCATTATGGTACTAGGACCCTTTATGAGGAGCTCCCGTAGCTTGCATTATGGTACTAGGACCCTTTATGAGGAGCTCCCGTAGCTTGCATTATGGTACTAGGACCCTTTATGAGGAGCTCCCGTAGCTTGCATTATGGTACTAGGACCCTTTATGAGGAGCTCCCGTAGCTTGCATTATGGTACTAGGACCCTTTATGAGGAGCTCCCGTAGCTTGCATTATGGTACTAGGACCCTTTATGAGGAGCTCCCGTAGCTTGCATTATGGTACTAGGACCCTTTATGAGGAGCTCCCGTAGCTTGCATTATGGTACTAGGACCCTTTATGAGGAGCTCCCGTAGCTTGCATTATGGTACTAGGACCCTTTATGAGGAGCTCCCGTAGCTTGCATTATGGTACTAGGACCCTTTATGAGGAGCTCCCGTAGCTTGCATTATGGTACTAGGACCCTTTATGAGGAGCTCCCGTAGCTTGCATTATGGTACTAGGACCCTTTATGAGGAGCTCCCGTAGCTTGCATTATGGTACTAGGACCCTTTATGAGGAGCTCCCGTAGCTTGCATTATGGTACTAGGACCCTTTATGAGGAGCTCCCGTAGCTTGCATTATGGTACTAGGACCCTTTATGAGGAGCTCCCGTAGCTTGCATTATGGTACTAGGACCCTTTATGAGGAGCTCCCGTAGCTTGCAGTATGGTAATATTAAGATCCCCAATTTCTACATGTCCAGGCGGACAATAGTTAAATTGGAATGTGGTTCAAGAACATGCTGATGAAGGAGCCAATCTAAGGCTTTCTACATGCCGCTGCTTTAGCGTTTGTGGTTGAAAACATTTGAATGACAGTTAGAAATTATTGAGGCACTTTTGTATCTGCCTATTGGTTTCGAGGGACTTTTGATGTAAGATATTATTGCTATCATTGCCATCTTATTGCTTAAAAAGTCGAATTTTATGCCATCTCCTCAACAATTTTGTGAAGTCTCCAAGCCAGTTTCTAAATGTCATCAGGAACAGTTTTAATCAGGATCATTCTTTTGTAAACGTCGTAATACAGAAAGAGGAGGAATACAGCATGCTTTTAACATAGTATGATTCCTCTGATGCTATCATCAGGTCTTCAGACGTAATGTTGCTTTCGGATGAACCATTGTTATGTCGATGTATATGACTGTCTCCTTTGAAAAGTAGAAAAAGACTTTACAGTATTGTACCTAGACTTGACAAATTTCCTATACGGTCCACACGGTCATTACATCCATAAGGCAGTGCCACGAAGCATTATGTAATGCTTCTCTAGTTGTATATAGTACCAGGTACTAATACCTGACTGGAATGAGTGAGTCCTTTTTGAGAGGACAAAGAAAGATACCTTTACAACTGCACAAACTACAGAAGTACCATTTTCACAGGAAAAGTGTTCAAAAGTCACTCAGAACAGAATGAAAGCCAAAGTAGATACAAAGAGACCAGCAAGCTACTTTCGCAAAGGATAATATAAAGACTAGATTGCAGCACGGATAATCATTGAGAAATCTACTCAGTGGAATATTTCGAAAAAGGCATTCGACAGCGTGGTCAGTGATACTTTTATGAAATATCTCGGACACTATAGGGTGTCAATAACTATTGCCCACATCAGCAGTAACTCGTACGAGAGGTTGACACGCAGCATTTTACGGAGGCAGCTGACAGAAGGACAGGATTCTAACAAAATTCTTTACCTTCTGTTTCTTCTTGCGGTTGATATGATCATTAGGTCGTCCACAGCACAAGCTAGGAAAAGAACTCCATGGTCACTTTGGACGCAATTTGACGACCACAACTTTGCACACGACTAGTCACTTACATCCCATGCACATCAGCATTTCCAGAAGACCAACGAAATGGCAGCCACTTCCCCACAAAGTTACTAAAGCAACAACAGAAAGACCAAACCCTTCAAGTCTAACGCAAGAAACACCAAGCCAGATTACCAGGCAGGCGAACCCTTGGAAAAGGTTGATGTCCCAAACTATATGAGCAATGGTGGTCCTCGACAAATAGGAAAGCAAGACATCTGATGTCAATGTCAGAATTAGAAAGACAAGAACAGTTTCCTGCATTTGAAGAACGATTTTAAAATAGTTACACTATAGACAAAGGGCATGCTCTCCAACAACAAAGTCAAGTCAGTGCTGTTGGATCAAAGACGTGAGAAACTTGGCAATTACCTAGATTTAGACCTTCATCAATATATCTCTTTAGATACTAAGTGCATCGACCCAACACAATCAGCAGCAAGGACTTATGGTAGAGAATCAACCGAATGACTGCTGAACGCAAGCCTCCAACCAACACCTCAACCAACGTCAGGCCGACAAGGCAAAGACTTGTAGCAGAGAATCAACCAAATGACTGATGACCGCAAGCCTCCAACCAACACCACAACCAACGTCAGGACGACAAGGCAAAGACTCGTAGCAGAGAATCAACCGAATGACTGCTGAACGCAAGCCTCCAACCAATACCTCCACCAAAGTCAGGACGACAAGGCAAAGTCTTGTAGCAGAGAATCAACCGAATGACTGCTGAACGCAAGCCTCCAACCAACACCTCAACCAACATCAGGACGACAAGGCAAAGACTTGTAGCAGAGAATCAACCGAATGACTGATGAACGCAAGCCTCCAACCAACACCTCAACCAACGTCAGGACGACAAGGCAAAGACTTGTAGCAGAGAATCAACCGAATGACTGCTGAACGCAAGCCTCCAACCAACACCTCAACCAAAGTCAGGACGACAAGGCAAAAGGAAGAATCGACGGACCAGAAACACATGGCGCCGGAACAAAAAAGGCAGGCACTATGAGCTGGGAACTTACATGGAGGCAGCCGGAGAAAACAAGGCCAGAAGAAGCCTGGAAAACCTATGTCGGCGGACTTGGTAATTATTATGTTGTAAGTATAATGTATCTTTCAATTGACCATGAAAGGGATCTAATGATTCTTAATAAATAAACATGGCGGAAAGATTTTGAAAAAGAGATAAATGCCATTTAATGGTTTTCTGTTCATAGGTCAGCCAATGAGCTTTAAAACGTCAACATTACTGATACGTAGTAAACTGATGATTTTCTTAAAATATTACCTAGACTTTTCACCATCTCTTGCTCGTCCAGCATTACGTACCAGGTGCCTCCGTCACAACACTGATGAGTAGCTATTCGGCCTGTCCTGTGGCCTCTTTGGACCATCTTGTGCAGAAACAAAACAATAATCAATCCATTTTGGTAGTGTACGTGTTGAGTTTCATTTTGTAAATCTAAGTAAAAGTAATTGAATAGCAATATTTATTTAATATTCACGTGCCGTAAATATCATGCACAATACTTAACTTGCAATTGGACCCGATATATTTACATTGTTGGTATACAAACATAACAAACATGCATGATCACTTAGAATTATGACGTCAATACCCAGTTAACCTTTAAGAGGTCAACCAGTGTACAAGTGAAATGTTACTTTAGTTCTGTATGCTTGGATTACCAATAACATCATCATACAGAAAACATCATAAGTGACATGTTTTTCATTTCAATAGATCACTACACAATTACCAATTACCAATCACTAAAGAATTTTATTAAATTATGCTTACCTCACCTGAAGTAGTATACGAATTTTAAGTATTAAGGTAAAGGGTACCATTGCATCAGTTACAATAACAAGTCACGAGATCAAGTCAAGATATCACGTCACGAGATCAAGTCAAGATATCAAGTCACGAGACCAAGTGATGTACCTTATTTACATAGACTTTGCGGCCCATTAATTGGACATTAATTTTTGTGTTGTTTATTTACAGTTCCTAGATAGCAATATTGGTAAAGTTACGCATTGTAAAGTACGGAGTTCAACCCATACAGTTTTATTTTTTATCTTTTTATTCATATTTTCAAACATTCAAATTTCAAACAACTGTAATTCTGTAAGATGCATCACAACATGTGAAATATTTCTTTTGAAAATGACTTTTTTAATTAAAAAAAATATTTCGCAATAGGTACAGTGGTAACTGTAGAAATGTAGTTTAACTTGTTGGTGTCCTTTACCTTAACTCATATTGTAAGTTTTACCTGATGTCTGAAGCTTAAAATTACATCAAATAAAAAAAGCCATCTGGTATTTGTGTATATTTCAAAGAATATTACATTTACCTACCCCCAGAAGGTACTGGTATAAAAACGTATGTCCCTGACACTGTCTAGATTAAATATATATATATTGATTAGAGAAAGGGGACACGTCTGACTACAACCATGTCATACCCATCCACAATACCCTCTGTTCTGTATTACTGAGTACCGTATTAGCGGAGAAGACGTACAATAACTATGTAGCATGGCTCTCACCTGCATACAGCCATTGTGAGCAGTCGTGTCCAGGAGTGGTATCCAAGCAGCGACCTGTAACGTCGCGTAGCATTCATTGTCCAGATAGGCACTGTCTAGAAAACAACAGTTTAAAAACAACCGGACTGGAAAAAATACAGGGACTTAAAAACACATATGGCATAAAAATTAAGAGACATAAGATGTGAGATCGATCCCTTATTATAAGTATAGAAAAAACACAAACAGACGTGAACGTTGTTAGGCGTTGTACATTTATATAATGATACTAGAATAATGCTGTTCTTAGTTATTGTATAATACAGTGAAAAGATTAGTTCACCGATGTAACAAACCATGCCGATAAGCTTTGATGACCAGAATACACGTATACCAAGCTTTGATGACCATTAACCACGTATACCAAGATTTAATGACCAGAATACACGCATACCAAGCTTTGATGACAAAAAAACACGAAAACCAAGCTTTAATGACCTGAACACACGTATACCAAGCTTTCATGACCAGAATACACGTACACCAAGCTTTGATGACCGGAATACACGTATACCAATATTTGCTGACCATTAACCACGTATACTAAGCTTTGAGACCAGAATACCCGTATACCAAGCTTTGATACCCAGAATACACGTAAACCAAGCTTTAATGACCAGAATACACGTGTACCAAGCTTTGATGACAAGAATACACGTATACCCAGCTTTGATGACCACACTGAACGTATACCAAGCTTTGCTGACCAGTATACACGTATACCAAGCTTGGATGACCAGAAAACACGTATACCAAGCTTTTATGACCAGAATACACGTGTACCAAGCTTTGATGACAAAAAAACACGAAAACCAAGCTTTAATGACAAGAATAAACGTATCCCAAGCTTTGAGACCAGAATACCCGTATACCAAGCTTTAAGACCAGAATACACGTATGCCAAGCTTTGATGACCAGTATACACGTATACCAAGCTTCGTTGACCATTTACCACGTATACCCCGCTTTGAGACCCGCCTCCACGTATACCAAGCTTTCATGACCATAATACACGTATACCAAGCTTGGATGACCAGAATACACGAATACAAAGCTTTGATGACCATTTACCACGTATACCCCGCTTTGAGACCCGCCTCCACGTATACCAAGCTTGGATGACCAGAATACACGCATACCAAGCTTTAATGACCAGTATACACGTTGACCAAGCTTTGATGACCGGAATACACGTATACCAATATTTGCTGACCATTAACCACGTATACCAAGATTTGATGACCAGAATCCACGTATACAAAGCTTTGATGCCCATTAACCACGTATACCAAGATTTGATGACCATTAACCACGTATACTAAGCTTTGAGACCAGAATACCCGTATACCAAGCTTTGATACCCAGAATACACGTAAACCAAGCTTTAATGACCTGAACACACGTATACCAAGCTTTGATCACCAGAATACACGTATACAAAGCTTTGATGCCCATTAACCACGTATACTAAGCTTTGAGACCAGAATACCCGTATACCAAGCTTTGAGACAAGAATACACGTATACCAAGCGTTGATGACCAGTATACACGTTTACCAAGCTTTGCTGACCAGAATACACGTAAACCAAGCGTTGATGACCATTAACCACGTATACTAAGCTTTGAGACCAGAATACCCGTATACCAAGCTTTGATACCAGAATACACGTATACAAAGCTTTGATGCCCATTAACCACGTATACCAAGATTTAATGACCAGAATACATGTATACCAAGCTTTGATACCCAGAATACACGTAAACCAAGCTTGGAGACCAGAATACACGTCTACCAAGCTTTAATGACCAGTATACACGTTTACCAAGCTTTGCTGACCAGTATACACGTATACCAAGCTTTCATGACCATAATACACGTATACCAAGGTGTGATGACCAGAATACACTTATACCAAGCTTTGATGCCCAGAATACACGTATACCCAGCTTTGATGACCATTACCCACATATACCAAGCTTTGATGCCCAGAATACACGTAAACCAAGCTTTAATGACCAGTATACACGTATTCCAAGCTTTGATGACCAGAATATACGTAAACCAAGCTTTGATCACCAGAATACACGTATATCAAGCTTTGATGACCAGTATCCACGTATACCAAGCTTTCATGACCATAATACACGTATACCAAGATTTGATGACCAGAATCCACGTATACAAAGCTTTGATGCCCATTAACCACGTATACTAAGCTTTGAGACCAGAATACATGTATACCAAGCTTTAATGACCTGAACACACGTATACCAAGCTTTAATGACCAGTATACACGTTTACCAAGCTTTGGTGACCATTAACCACATATACCAATCTTTGATGACCAGAATACAAGTATACCAAGCTTGTATGACCATTAACCACGTATACCAAGATTTGATGACCAGAATCCACGTATACAAAGCTTTGATGACAAGAATACACGTATACCAACCTTTGATGACCAGAATATACGTAAACCAAGCTTTGGGACCAGAATACACGTATCCCAAGCTTTGATGACCAAAATACACGTATACCAAGCTTCGTTGACCATTTACCACGTATACCCCGCTTTGAGACCCGCCTCCACGTATACCAAGCTTGGATGACCAGAAAACACGTATACCAAGCTTGGATGACCAGAAAACACGTATACCAAGCTTTAATGACCAGAATACACGTGTACCAAGCTTTGATGACCGGAATACACGTATACCAACCTTTGATGACCAGAATACAAGTATACCAAGCTTTGATACCCAGAATACACGTAAACCAAGCTTTGATGACCAAAATACACGTATACCAAGGTGTGATGACCAGAATACACGCTTACCAAGCTTTGATGACAAAAAAACACGAAAACCAAGCTTTAATGACCAGTATACACGTATACCAAGCGTTGATGACCATTAACCACGTTTACCAAGCTTTGCTGACCAGAATACACGTATACCAAGCTTTGAGACCAGAATACACGTATACCCTTACTCACTTGAAAATTAGTGTTAATTGAAATTCAAAACATTTCTGTATAAACGGGTGAAATGGATTCAGTAAAAAAGTATTTCTAAGTCGCAGTTATCATTAAATGTCAAGAGAGACACAAACGACAAGGATGGCAGTTGTGGAGTCGAATTCTACTATTTATCAATCTGTTTTACAGAGAGGCAACCGCTCATTCCATGATATAGGAACTTAAAAGTAGGATTTTGCTTATTTCGTTAGGTAGGACAATTTATCTTCCCTTGATTATGCATCATCATATATATTATTATCATCACTAGATTTTTCAAGCATTCTTTACAAATGTCCCTGACCTTACAAATGTCCCCGACACACTTTTGTTAGAAATAGCGTAAAATATTCCAAAATTAGCATAATCGCATGTTTTTGTACAATACATTTGTTCATTTTTTTTAAAAATTAATTCGACATATATGTTTATAAATAGGTGTCGCTACGCAGCATGTTCATCAAAATGATACCCGACACTTTCTATGAAACAGGATGTGTGACACACATTGAATGCAAGTGGTACAATATCTAACGTTTATATTTTTACAGAGGTATCTAAGCAAATAAAACGTATCGGTGATAGCCATCAGAAGGCCTGCACTATATAACCTTGAATTATATGAACTTGAGTTCAATGAATAAGCGGAACGATTTCGATTTTGCGATGATGACCTTCTGCTTTCTTGATAGTAACATCACTGCTTCTGCAATCTGCAGTGTTTATATATAGCATAAGGAATCGCTTTGAATATCCCGATTTCCACGATAGATTCAGATTAAATAATACGGGACTGTTTTATGATCGCCATCATGACCCAATTAGAACAAGCACGTATGTATTATATTTCTGGATCCAAGATGTTTTGTATATTGCCCCAAAGCCTGTTTTGTGGTTTTGTTGTCACTATCCCTGCTCACACTTAAGGACGCGACATCATGCTTGCCCTACCATACGGACCCGGAGGATGCTTGTAAGAGGCCACAGGGCACTTTTACTGTGTCGAATGTCTAGTCATCCGAAACGAGTGTATACATAAATATTTCCTTGAAGGTTGAAGAACTAATGAAGTCAACCTATCTGTAGTAACCCGTGAAAGTATGGTTTCCAGGACTCGTCTTCTTTGAGAAGGACAGTTCCGTCTACGGTGTTATCGGCCCGTTTCCTATTTTTTAAACTGGGTGAATCCACGAGTAATCTGGACAATGGTAGTTCTTTTGTGTCGGCGTACCCATTACATGAAACACTCGCACTGGAACCAAGACTTGTTTTGGTATACGTATTATAAACTAGAGAAAACGTTCATGTTTTACTGACTACAATCAATTAAATTGTCGGATAGAGACATCAAAAACAGCTACTTCTCAATGTTACTGTAAATCGATCCCTATTAATGTTATTGGCGTTACAAATGCCACCATTTTCAAAAGTATTGAGTTACGTAAGAAACTAACATAAGTTATGTTCAATCAATTTGTGATTATATAAGGTAACATTTGGTGATCTCATTATCAAAATCTACAGTTAAACAACTGGATGGCAAAAACGATTATCATACATTGTAATCCTTCACAAGGCCCGTTATATTGTGAGGATGACTTAACACATTCGATAAAACCTATTTCATGACTTTGTCTGATGAATACGATTAAAACCTTGATGCCATGGTACTGTAGTAGCCTCGTTTTGAGGAGTTTTGGTGCGGAGGTTCCAAAGGGGATGTCCATTTATCTCGGGCCCGATGAGCTGCTCCACAACGTTCAACAGGCGCTCATTAGTCCACAGCTTCTTAAATTCCTGTAACCATATCACTCACTTCCTGTAACCATATCACTCACTTCCTGTAACCATATCACATCACTTTCTGTCATTAAGATCCCATTAATAATCATATCCATATTCACCTTCCCTCTGTTTACACTATCAAACTGTTTACGTTATTTTTGGACACTTTGGTTTATAAACAACAGGACGTCGCTACTTCGGACATTTTGGTTCATGATAAGATATGACTTTGTGGCAATCAACGATCCCTAATTAATAGAGGTTCGTTAGTGGAGACCTGGAAAGGTTACCATACTTACCTCGCACAGATCTGGATATTTCAGCAGGATAATGTTGGCTCCTGGAAACTCCTTATCTATGTGGGTCAATCGTTCAAAAAAACCGTACTCCTTGTATAGGTCTGAAAGATCGAATTTCGTCAGTTACAATACATTTACTTCGTTCTAGGTTGTAGTTTCTCAAGTGGTACTTAAACAACAGTGGCGAAATTAGACATAATATATCAAGGGATCAAATGTTAAAGAACATTATCCAAAACAGGTCGTTTTACCGTGTTATGAGTAGCCTTTTCAAAAAATGGAAACTGGACGTCAAATTGTTAAAAATCCTTTAGCGTTATCAACAGTTCTCGTTTTGCTGCCGCCAGAAACGCATCATACATGCTCTTCTCCGTCTCTGCTACATATTTTACAATTTCAAATATATACTAGCCTATGGGCTAACCAACATTCAAGAGCGAACTTTAAGATTAATTGGTATCGTGGAGACGCCATGTCACTAAAAAAGACGACATAAGTATCGCCCTTTCCTTGTATGGGACGCTATTAGTATCGTTCTCTAATATGAAGGGACGACATTAATATCGTCCTAATAGTAGAAGGGACATTATAAGTATCGTTCTGACCCTACACGGGAAAGTACTTAAAAGACCTGAGCTGTAAACAGGACGTTAAGTAAACCAAACGAAACCCTAGAAGGGCACCATTAGCCTCGTTCTGTCCCTGATAGTATTCGACGTTGTCTGTAGGTCTTCTCTCTATCACTGAAATACAGAGTACGCGGTTCATATTCAGGTACGTACATTAACAAGCACACGTCTTACTTTTGATTTTGCCGCCCTTGTAGAGTTTCTGAGCCAGTTTTTCCACCAGTCTCTCCGCTGCTTGGCGACACGGCTCCAGCTCCTCCAGGCGGAAAAACTCTGGTACCAGTACATACCCCTATCGTAAAAATGTTTCTCAAAGTAGTGTGAACAAATCATTGCAGATAACCATGAGCAATCGGGTATGTTGATGTACATGCTTGTAACAAATGACTAGACCTTAGCTGTTTTATGACCCCATTACATTAAACACATTAGATACCGTGGTCTTATGATATTTGGTGTAGAGTGACCCAGCTAACCAGAGGACACCGTGGTCTTATGACCTTAGATGAAGAGTGACCCCAGTTGCAAGATGACACCGTGGTCTTATGGCCTTAGTTGTAGATTAACCAATGATACCAGAGGATACAGTGGTCTTATGATCTTGTCTGTAGAGGGACCCAGGTAACCAGGATACCGTGGTCTTAGGATACCAGAGGACACCTTCGTCATATGAACTTAAACCTGTAGAGTGACCCTAGTTACCAAAGGAAAGCATAGTCATAAGGCCTTAACTTTAGAGTAGCCCCAGTTACATGTACCAGATGGCAAATTCGTCATATGACTTTGCCTGTACGGCTACCCCGGTAACCAAAGGACACCGGGGTCATATGACCTTAGCTGTAGGGTGACCCCTGTTACCAGAGGGTACCATTGTCATATGACCTTAGCTGTATGGTGACCCCTGTTACCAGAGGGTACCATTGTCATATGGCCCTTAGCTGTAAGGTGACCCCTGTTACAAAATGTACTAGAGGGTACCGTTGTCATATGGCCCTTAGCTAATAAGTGGCCCGAATTACAAGCGAATATCATCGTCAATATATGACTCATAATGACCCTAGATGATGATTGACAGTCTGCCACCCCATTTTTAGTTCTCTGGGCTATTTATAGCACAAAGACTAAAGCCATAGATCTCAAATTCTGTCGGAGTTTTGCTTGTAATCGCAGCAGTGATATAACTATGCATTTGTGGGAGAATATTGTGAGTTTGATACGACTGTTGTTCTATTTTCTTGAAAAAGTACTCAAAGTTAATTAGTACCCTTGTAATTAACTAAAATGTGAATTTTGACATGCTGAAAATAGCACACACGCCAATTCACAGCGTGGGTCACATAGCTCGTAGCACCCGTGTATATACACGGCCAAACAGGGAGCGAGGCATCCGTGTTCAGGCCCGGTCACACAGCCCTCCACGGCCGGCGTATCGCGGCCGAATCACGGCCAAAAATTTCTGCCCGTGAAGCAGACGCTGTTGGGCGCTTTGAGGTCGCGATAAAGACGCGATACAGCCGTACTTTACCCGTCGTTACACGCGGTAAGAAATTCACACGCGGTTGGCCGCGCGAAAAAGTTTTGGGCTGCCCAAAAATTTAGACCGCGGGTAATCGGGGGCGGTACACGTGGTACACACGCGGTAAAGACGCGGTACAGACGCGGAACGAACGTGCTAGGACGTGCTACGGCCGCGGTTAAGACGTGGTTACACGCGGTAGGACGCGAAATTTTAGCGGGTAATCGCGGGTGGAGCACGGTCATAGCACGTTTGTTCCGCGTCTGTACCGCGTTGTTATCACGTGCATTAGCGTGTGTACCGCGTGTAAACACGGACAAACGCCTTTCTCCGCGTAAACAGCGCGCCCCAATACCGGCCTAATCACGTTCAATTGCGTCTTGTACACGTCCCAAATACGATTGTCCACGGCCTAATCGCGTCCGTACAACGTCTGATTTTAGGTATATAAAAAGCGCGATTTGCCGAGCATTCGTCAGTTGTGCTCCAGACGTCAAGGGGTGAACATGGATCCCCGTCACCGTAATGACCTCGTCTTGCTGCTCCAGCAGCATCAGAACCAAGTCTGTTCCGCGGGCATACCACGGGTAAACCGCGGGTAAGCCAATTTTGCACATTTTCCACCACGGGCAACCGCGGGCAAAAAAAATCGCGAAATTTTACCCGCGATACAGACGCGAAAGGCTGTGTGACCGGGCCTTTACAGACACATTTCTATAGTTTTGAAAAATATGTCATCGTTACATTGTATAACAGAATTGATGCAAGGTCTCTTGTTTCCGGGAACACGATTCAGCAGTTTCAAGCACTTCAGTGATATGGCCAGAGAACTACGTGGCCCTTGACCTCTTGTTTCCGGGAACACGATTCAGCAGTTTCAAGCACTTCAGTCATATGGCCAGAGAACTACGTGGTCCTTCACCTCTTGTTTCCGGGAACACAATTCAGCAGTTTCAAGCACTTCAGTCATATGGCCAGAGAACTACGTGGCCCTTGACCTCTTGTTTCCGGGAACACGATTCAGCAGTTTCAAGCACTTCAGTCATATGCCCAGAGGACTACGTGGCCCTTCACCTCTTGTTTCCGGGAACACGATTCAGCAGTTTCAAGCATTTCAGTGGTATGGCCAGAGAACTACGTGGCCCTTGACCTCTTGTTTCCGGGAACACGATTCAGCAGTTTCAAGCACTTCAGTCATATGCCCAGAGGACTACGTGGCCCTTGATGACCTCTTGTTTAAGTGGAGTGAGTGAGAGGAGAACAATCGGTTAACTTACCTCCGAAATGTTTGATGGCAGTATGTGCAGAAAGATGTCATGGAGAGTACAGTTTGATGTTAGAAAATGAAATAATATACACTTTTATACATTATCACTATCACGACCTTGGGAAATCTTAACATTTCCTTTATTTACTTTTAAGAAAACATATGTACAGACTATTTCGAATGATTGATCTCAAAGTTATAAAACACAATGAATATGAATGTACTCAAGGGTGTCTACGTGACGTACCTCCTCAAAGAACTGTCTGATCATGTGCTGGGGAAGCTGACCGGGCTTGGCTTCCTCTGGGGGTACTGGCAAGGCCCGCAGGTCAAACAACTCGGGGTGTGCCTCCTGCACCAGACCCGGCGGCATGAAATTTGGTGGTGCAGCTACGCCCGTCATCTTACTACCTGTACATACGTGGTGTCTCCTTCAGTGCTGATAAAGGGTCACTTCACTGGTTTGCGTTATCACCGATAGACTATGTCACATTGCTATGGAAGATGTATTGTGCCATTTCGTCGCTTCGTTATTTCGCTTTATACGCAGGCGAGGAAGCGATACTTATCGCCTCGTCACCTTCGAGTTACAGGGCTAATTATCGTCGTTTTGCTCCTGTAACATGTAGGCGACGGGCGATAATGATGGTTCCTTCGTCCTCGTTTAAGGCGAAAAAAAACAAATGACGAAATGTCACAAATCAACCACCATACTAATCATCCACCATATCTTCTTCACGAGTAGATATGTACACATCATCAGCCACCATATCTTCTACACGAGTAGATATGTACACGGAATGGGCCCTAAAACGGGTACAAAAACAGTGTCAAAGTAAAGGGGAAGAACAAGAAAAGGCCAACAAGGATAAGAACAAAACCAAAGGTCAAGTGGTCATCCCGTATATAAAGGGTATATCCGAAACCATCCAGAGGATATATCGCGGCCATGTCATAGCAACAGCCATTAAGCCCACAAGACGCTTCGCAATATCCTAGTACACCCTAAGGATAAAACACCTAAAGAAAACGTCGAAGAATGCTTAAACAAAATCGGATGCAAAAACTGCGACGCATCGTATATTGGAGATACTGGAAGGCGATTTGGGGTCCGCCTTGGTAAACACCGGAAAGATACAGAAACCCAAGAAGGTAGGAAATTCACAAGATCAGAAAGGAAGCAGTCGGAGTCCCAAATAAATGAATCGGCAAACACAGACCATGCCACACAGAAAAATCATGTGATTGACTGGGATAACTCCAAAGTTTTGGACAGAGAGAGAGCAATCTGTTCAAGCGGCAGATAAAGGAAGCCATCTGGATACACCGAAGTGGGACAGTTCTAAATAGAGACGAGGGGGCTCAAAGACTCTCGCACATCTATGACCAGGTATTAAACAAAGCGTAGCTGAATCAAGTCATTTCGGTACATATATAACAACTATTGTACATACGCTTACAGCGTAGCCGAATCGACATCGATTTTATGGACAACTTGTACACATTTTACACATTTGTGTGCATACGCTTCACTGGTCATTTGTCTGATGAAGGTGACAGAGTACATATCGTACTAGTCATCGAAACGTCACAAAAAAATGTTTATTGGTTGTGTAAAAAGACTTTTCATAATCCATACTTACCAACCTGAACAAAATGTTTAGATATATATGTACACATTGTTATGTAAACAGGGACTCGGGTGTTAGCTGTTCAATCTGATAACCTACATAAGACTAGAAATCTCGTACATTTTTTACTTTCCATCACACATAATATTCTAATGAATATTGGTACCACAGGAAGAGCACTGACATAGTCCATGTCCGTGGTAATGGCATACAATTTATCAACTCTCAGCATACATGTAATAAGTTTGTCGAATCATCAATGCTTTGTATTCACTTATAATTATAAGAGTACTTATATTATTAAGGACATTATGACATTCTACATATGATATGTATACATGTAGCTGTGTAAATTTAAAATCATCATTATCGGGTAATCTTGAACATTAAAGTAAATGTAATGATATCTTTTTTATCATATTGTTATTTTTTCATGACGCGTGATGCATTCTAAAAGATTAAACGACACACCACGTGCATTGACGCCATGTACTTAAGGCCCACTGGGAGAGTCATGTTAACATGTTGCAGCACTTCTATTCTGCACTGAGGCCACTGTCAACGTGCGAAATTCAAAGACGGTGACTCGGAACAGAGCGTACTGGCTTCCTGCAAGTGTAAAATACAGCACTCGTAAAGACATTGATTTCACATCTACCAAAACTACATAGAAAGACCACAATCGTCAACTTGCTGGCACACCAGTAACACTACGTATCGGTAAGAGTTACGAGTGGTTTACCCTCCATTTTTTTGGGAAGGAATGACATCATTTTTGCACGGATTAACCGCAACCAGGGCACGGTCTTCAAAAGGTCTTCATTGTGCATTAGTGCTAATTTCCCCTTGATACCTACAGAGTTAATTTACAAAGCCCTTCTAAATGCTAATTATAGTTAAATCCTGATAACGCGAGACTGGAATGAGGTTTTGCGACAAGAAGCAGCTACTGTAGAACGTGCAACAAAAATTCAACGCAATTTTAAATTCTGACATAGATTCATATAGAGTGCGCCAAAAATATATTCAGTGTGTCACAAAGACCCAGCAGGACCATCTCGGTGTGTCACACAGAACAAGCAGGTCCATCTCAGTGTGTCACAGAGACCCAGCAGTACCATCTCGGTGTGTCACACAGTACAAGCAGGTCCGTCTCAGTGTGTCACAGACACCAAGCAGGACCATCTCAGTGTGTCACAGAAAGCCAGCAGGACCGTCTCAGTGTGTCACAGAAAGCCAGCAGGACCATCTCAGTGTGTCACAGAAAGCCATCAGGACCATCTCGGTGTGTCACAGAAAGCCAGCAGGACCGTCTCAGTGTGTCACAGAGACCCAGCAGGACAATATCAATGAGTCACAGAGACCCAGCAGGACCATCTCAAGTGTGTCACAGAAAGCCAGCAGGACCGTCTCAGTGTGTCACAGAAAGCCAGCAGGACCGTCTCAGTGTGTCACAGAAAGCCAGCAGGACCATCTTGGTGTGTCACAGAAAGCCATCAGGACCATCTCGGTGTGTCACAGAAAGCCAGCAGGACCGTCTCAGTGTGTCACAGAAAGCCAGCAGGACCATCTCGGTTTGTCACAGAGACCCAGCAGGACCATCTCAGTGTGTCACAGAAAGCCAGCAGGACCGTCTCAGTGTGTCACAGAAAGCCAGCAGGACCATCTTGGTGTGTCACAGAAAGCCAGCAGGACCATCTCAGTGTGTCACAGAGACCCACCAGGACAATATCAATGAGTCACAGAGACCCAGCAGGACCATCTCGGTGTGTCACAGAAAGCCAGCAGGACCATCTCAAGTGTGTTACAGAAACCCAGCAGGACAATATCAATGAGTCACAGAGACCCAGCAGGACCATCTCAAGTGTGTCACAGAAAGCCAGCAGGACCGTCTCGGTGTGTCACAGAAAGCCATCAGGACCATCTCAGTGTGTCACAGAAAGCCAGCAGGACCATCTCGGTGTGTCACAGAAATCCAGCAGGACCATCTCAGTGTGTCACAGAGACCCAGCAGGACCGTCTCAGTGTGTCACAGAAAGCCAGCAGGACCGTCTCAGTGTGTCACAGAGACCCAGCAGGACCGTCTCAGTGTGTCACAGAAAGCCAGCAGGACCGTCTCGGTGTGTCACAGAAAGCCAGCAGGACCATCTCGGGGTGTCACAGAAAGCCATCAGGACCATCTCGGCGTGTCACAGAAAGCCAGCAGGCCCATCTCGGTGTGTCACAGAAAGCCAGCAGGCCCGTCTCAGTGTGTCACAGAGAGCCAGCAGGACCATCTCGGTGAGTCACAGAAAGCCATCAGGACCATCTCAGTGTGTCACATAAAGCCAGCAGGACCATCTCAAGTGTGTCACAGAAAGCCAGCAGGACCATCTTAGAGCTGAGTCACATTCATTTGCTTCCCTGCAGAGACATCATTGAAATCTGCGGCACCAACATAGGGATGCGAGCATGAGAAAAAGATGAAAAGATTCTAGAGCGAAGCAATGAAACTACACCTGAACGTTAGGTGCCTCTCTGGAAGTGTGTCATGTGACTGTTGTGTTGCTGGTGCTGTGGAGAGATAGTGTGTCATGTGACTGTTGCGTTGTTGGTGATGTGGAGAGAAAGTGTGTCATGTGACTGTTGTGTTGTTGGTGCTGTGAAGAGAAAGTGTGTCATGTGACTGTTGTGTTGTTGGTGATGTGGAGAAAATATGTGTCATGTGACTGATGTGTTGCTGGTGCTGTGGAGAGAAAGTGTGTCATGTGACTGTTGTGTTGTTGGTGATGTAAAAATCAAGTGTCCCGACTGTGTTCGGCATTCTTCTTTGGATTATTACACTGGAACTAAGACATGTTTAGAGGACATGCCAGACGAGAAAAGACTAAACCACGACCATTCCTACTACTACCAAGTCTAAACAAAGATGTACGTGACTAAACTCGAATTTTGTGACTTTGTTGTGTGGACTGAACAAGACATGCATATTGAGAGAGCGGAATAAAATGAACGATTTTGGCAAGGAATTCGAATGACAGCTGGGGACTTCCACACAACAACAAATACTCCCGAGGTTGTTTGAAAGTTTTTTTGTTGAAAAAGCAAAGCTGGACCAATGAGTGGTGTGGCAACCAACTCCCATGTGAACGAGGAAAGCGTGGTTCCGGTTAATCAGGATCATCTGTACTGTATCTGTCAGCAGTCCGAGAGCCCAGACAGAGAAATGGCAGCATGTGATATCCTTAACTGTAAATAAAATGGCTCTACCTTGGCTGCATGCAGTTTACAAAGGCAAGACTGCCAAAGAGAAAGTTGTGTTACCCTGATTGTACAAATTTACCAGACTCTAGACCAAAGAAACGAAGCAGAAAATAGTCATTTGAAATTTGAACAAACATAGATCCAGTTAACTAAGTACGAATTTGACAGTACTACATGTATGTAAATCAAAACAGAGCTTGTCATTATACTTTATCATGCTCAGATTATGAAACATGTATCCGCATTGCGGGTCCACTTTTACTGTAGTCATGTTGTCAGCAAACTGATTAAAGTCATGAGAATTGGGGATGCAGAAATTCCAGTCAACATTCTAACCCGTCATCCTTTACCTATAATCCTTCTTCGGTGATTCTCAGCAAGTTTCTGTTTTAATTCAACATTTTCCACAATGATTCAGTTACAGTCACTTTCCATAGCAATTATTGTATAAACGGCCGTTCGGGTCTGTGTATGTTGTACACGGTCACTTACAACTGTTACCTCACCAGTGTGATCATGTTGTTTAATATCTGTCACCGTAACCTGCACTTCATCTTGTCGCCTTTAGTCGAACACTTGAGGGAGTGATTGTCCAGGTTCACCATTATTCTTGTTCCTCTCGTTGTTTGATTCTGGTACCACGAAGAGGGGTTGGTGAAGTAAGTGTTGTTACTTCGTGGTCAGGACCAAACTTCTTAGAAGTGTCCAAGTCTATACGTCTGCATGGGTACAGAAGAGATGGCCTGTAAAAAAAATAAGACAGACTGTATATATAACCAATACACTGTTTATGTCACATTTGATAATGCATCGTTATGCATATAAGACTGGAATAAATAAAAATGGCACTGACCTAGTCGCCATTGATCGTTATATAACATGACAACACACCAAAACTATTTTATTTGATCATTTGCGGTTATATTCAATGCAATGATATGCATAACATAATATGAACACTTTAGCTATAAATTAGATTATGTTTAAAAAGAAATGAGACATATTCTATTTTTCAAAAATTACATTTAATTTAATGTTTATTTAGCTCACCTGCCCGACGCGCAGCGTCCGTCGTCCGTCCGTCAACTTTTCCCTTTCAAACGCTTCTCGTCTTGAACGGCCCTGTTGATTTCGACTAAATTTGGTCTGGAGCATCCTTAGACCAAGGGGACTCAATTATGTATAAACGGTGGGTGTAGACCCCCTGGGGGCAGAGGAGCGGGGCCCAATAGGGGAAATTCAGGTAACCTATAAAATTCTTCTTCTACCATAGGGATTTAAGGGAGCATCCTAATTAGGTCTAGAGCATCCTTGGGCTAAGGGGACTCAATGTTGTATAAACGGTGGGTATGGACCCCCTGGGTGCAGAGGGGCGGGCCCAATAGGGGAAATTGAAGAAAAACATTTAAAAGCCTTCTTCTACCATAGGGATTAGGGCAATTATCCCGATTTTGTCTGGAGCATCCTTGGGCCAAAGGGGACTCAATGTTGTATAAACGGTGGTATAAGACTTCCTGAGTGCAGAGCTGCGGGGCCAATAGGGAAATTCGAGGTTTATTTTTTGTTTGTACCATTAGAGGAATTTTATGTAATAAGAATAATTTACCATGGTTGCATTATTATCAAGGTGAGCGATACAGGCCCTCTGTGTCTCTTGTTAATAATTAGGGTCCTGATATGATATCATCAGTATAGCAAATATACGTGGTTTACAACAATATCGTAAAGAAGCATTGTTTAAGGTAGGATTTTTAGGGGGTGGTCATCGATGGGCAAATCGATAAAAGTTGAGTTGTTTCGGTTACTTTTGGGGAACCATATAATAACTTCTGCAAGTCTATTATATCCTACTTTCATTTTAATGCAAGCACCGGAAGTGCGCAAAGAACTCTGGGAGTCGAAACTAAAATAACATTAAGTACAGAACACATGACAGGTCTCGTACGTCTACCGTTTATTGGAGAATTAAGGTAAGCATGTGAAGTTAATGATTCTATAGCATGACTTTTAAATACTGCCTCGGCTTTCATTATTAAGAGGAAACTTAACAGTTAAAGCGAATGACTCGAGAGACGTGACCAACATAAACGTCTGAAGTGTACGCCAGGCTACTACTGATCTACATTAATATTATTGCCTTGCGGCATGTGATTTAGCGCGAGGTAATATTTTCAACAGCATACATCCATATATAAACCTTGCCATGATTTTTTTAAGAAAAATGTATTTGTTTGAGTAAAAGGTGTTTTATTTCATGATGTTAATTTCAGAATTGAGGATGTAATAATCAAGAATTGAAATGGCAACTATTGAGTGGAATAGACAAAACCTAGCTTATCAGGTAGGTATTAACCGAGCTTAGCAGGTAGGTATATAATAATTTGTCAATTATGACTATCATAAGATAATTACTGCCATAAAATAGGGTAAAGTTACAGGAAAATTTTGACAATTATCATGCAATATATCTTATTTTAAGCTGTTTTCTAAATTTTAAAAAGAAATATTCTTATTTTGTAATCATATTTTTCACAAGTCCAAAGGATCCTTTAAATTAGGTTAGGTGATTCACTAGTCCTTGCTGAAATCTACTAGTGTTAGTGTCGGTCCCTGACGACCAGATTTGGATTTGAACTGGAACCTTCCAAACTCTTCATGGATGTTCTACCAATTCAGCTCTCTAGTCAAAAGTGAATGAAGCAGTCCAGTTCTGATACATCCCTCCCTCCTTTTATCAAGTTTTTGGCTCTGAAAACAACACTATTTACAACCCATGGCACCACTATAACAGAAGAGAAATGCACGGCCAGTAGTGATAGGCAATCGGTTTAAAATCACAATCGATAATCTGTTTGTAATCAGAAGTAGTAAACCGATCGATGATCGATTGCATAATCAGTTCATGGTTTTATGGGACTGAATTTCAGAATACCTGAATACATGAAATTTATAAGTTTAGATATGATATTAGGTTACAATGGAGTGTACATTAGTTTTTATGTTTATATACCGTTTCTCTCCACCAGAGTCTGACAGAGGTGCCCCCTGAGCTGATTGAGCATGAGGGAAGCAGGACTGCTGAGCTGGACTTGACACATAATAAAATATCATATCCTTTAAATTTATTCTAAAAAAATTGTAAATCAAACTTGTCAAAGATTTGTTTATGTTTTTAAACCTTATCAGAATAGTTGCTGTGTGAACAAAGAAACATAAAGATTGTTTCCTTACAGCAGTTGTACAGATCTGAGGTTTCTTGTAGATTATCCCCACTTAACCACGCTGATCCTGGATCACAATCTAGTGGGATCACATGTCAAACTACCCGCCATGAACAAACTCCACACTCTTTGGCTCAACCACAACAAAATCTCTAATCTCAGTAAGTTTGCCTTTGCAATATCCATTACTTAGTCAAAATCAGTCTTGAATTAAAGATTTCTTATGATGTTGAATTAAGTCTTGAATTAAAGATGACTTATGATGTTGAATTAAGTCTTGAATTAAAGATTTCTTATGATGTTGAATTCTGTCTTGAATTAAAGATTTCTTATGATGTTGCAGTGATAAAATTTACATTTAAGCCGTGTGAATAAGTTTGCTTGTAGAAATGCTATTTGCTTATGATTCATAGAACAATGTAGAAAATGTATGGCAACCTGGTGGTAAAGGTATATTTATTGGCTATATATTTCTTGGCTATATATTTTCATTTCTTCACAGTATATTTAATTAAAAGTGTTAAAAGTAAACATGAAATCATCCACCATTTCCACACTGTGATTACTTCTGATATTAAAGTAACAAGACTCATAGGAAAATATGTACAAATGACTACTACTGTAGTATTATATTACAGTACAGGTTATACTGTATTGTTACTGTAGTATTATATTACAGTACAGGTTATACTGTATTGTTACTGTAGTATTATATTACAGTACAGGTTATACTGTATTGTTACTGTAGTATTATATTACAGTACAGGTTATACTGTATTGTTACTGTAGTATTATATTACAGTACAGGTTATACTGTATTGTTACGCTCCCTCTTCTCAGGTACATTTGTAGCTGCGCTCGTTAAGAGTTGTCCCAACCTGCGACATCTGTCAATGATGAACAATGAAGCAGCTCCCAGTTTCTTCAATGGTGGCACATTCCAACAATACATGGACTACAGGTTCAATGTGTACATTTGTTAATGAAAATCATATTGTTTTGGTCACTGTTTGGGTTTCTTAAGAAGTTTGCATGTTTACAGACTGAGAATGAAGCCTAACATCAACAATGTTTACTGATTGAGGATTAATCTTTAAATTAATATCATATACTATTATTAACATTCATTGTGGTTGATACATTGATTTATCATCCTGAGATTATATTTTCCATGACCAGAAGTAGTAAAGCCAGGGTTAAATAAATATGCATCAAAATTTTGTGAATGAAGTGAGATAATACTTCTATTGATTGTCCTGTCTGTAGGTACTATGTCATCAGTCGCCTGCAGAAGTTGGATGCCCTGGATGATAAAGTCATACAAGAAAATGAAAGAGCAGAGGCTGAGAGGATTTATGGTAGATCTGTAAGTATATTTATTATACTGAATAAGGAAAGGTTCAAAATAATTCCAGTTGTGCTTGATATCTTAAAAGTAGATAGTTAACAACTCTAGAAGATCAGATCTAATTTGTTTTAAACTTACTGCCAAACGTCGTAGATAAGAATCGTTTCACTATAAAACATGATATTTAATTAAGTAACTTTGTATTTCCCAATAACCAATGTATATGTCTTGATCTTGTGTTACATTCAACATTACAGAAATCAAGGAGGAAGAGTACAAAGAAAAAGCTGGAACAAGATAATAGCTAGATAAATGTGTGTAAATGTTCAGTCTCAGGTGAATTACTGTTATTTGGTGCTAAAATGACTCGAGGATTAACCTTTCGTGGTGCTGTGGGTCCACAGTGAACTGCGTTATGTGGTGATGAAGGTCCACAGTGATCTGCGTTATGTGGTGCTGAAGGTCCACAATGAACTGCATTATGTGGTGCTGAAGGTCCACAGTGAACTGCGTTATGTGGTGATGAAGGTCCACAGTGAACTGCATTATGTGGTGCTGAAGGTCAACAGTGAACTGCGTTATGTGGTGCTGAAGGTCCACAGTGATCTGCGTTATGTGGTGCTGAAGGTCCACAATGAACTGCATTATGTTGTGATGAAGGTCCACAGTGAACTGCGTTATGTGGTGCTGTAGGTCCAGTGAACTGCGTTGTGTGGTGCTGAAGGGCCAACGTGAACTGCGTTATGTGGTGCTGAAGGTCCACAGAGAACTGCATTATGTGGTGCTGAGGGTCCACAGTGAACTGCGTTATGTGGTGCTGTAGGTCCACAGTGAACTGCTTTATGTGGTGCTGAGTCCACAGTGAACTGCGTTATGTGGTGCTGAGGGTCCACAGTGAACTGCGTTATGTGGTGCTGCAGGTCCACAGTGAACTGCGTTATGTGGTGCTGCAGGTCCACAGTGAACTACGTTATGTGGTGCTGTAGGTCCACAGTGAACTGCATTATGTGGTGCTGTAGGTCCACAGTGAACTGCGTTATGTGGTGCTGTAGGTCCAGTGAACTGCGTTGTGTGGTGCTGAAGGTCCAACGTGAACTGCGTTATGTGGTGCTGAAGGTCCACAGTGAACTGCGTTATGTGGTGCTGCAGGTCCACAGTGAACTGCGTTATGTGGTGCTGAGTCCACAGTGAACTGCGTTATGTGGTGCTGAAGGTCCACAGTGAACTGCGTTATGTGGTGCTGAAGGTCCACAGTGAACTGCGTTATGTGGTGCTGAAGGTCCACAGAGAACTGCGTTATGTGGTGCTGAAGGACCACAGAGAACTGTGTTATGTGGTGCTGAGTCCACAGTGAACTGCGTTATGTGGTGCTGAAGGTCCACAGTGAACTGCATTATGTGATGCTGAAGATCAAACCTTTTTGTATACTTAACCATAAAATAGCTCTCAATATATTTTATTTATGTAAAGTTGTCAATAATTCTTTTGAAATAAATGCAATTTATTTTGAAAAACATGACTTATATATACACTACATTCTAGCCATTGCAACTTCATAGTAAAGGAATTTTGTGTCTTGATGAGGTTAAAAGCTCATTGAATGACGACAAAAATATACTGTGATACTATCATGTGTTTTGGAACATACCATACCTCCTATTGAGATTTACCAACATATTTGGTAGTGAATTAAGTCAAGTGCTGCTGACTAGAAGTTGGCAGAGTGTTTGTCTAAAATAAATAGTTGTGTCCCTCTACAGAGCTATCAGGTGTTTCTGTTCAGAGGAACCCACTTTGAGTCCTGTCTGTTACATTTTCCCAGCTTTTGTTTAAAATTTTGGTTAACAAACTAACTGTATAAAGGGACAAGTTTATGAAGAAAGAGCCTTTGATCAAAATTAGTTTTTGTATTTCATCATATGACTTAACAGTACTTTCATGTATTTTATGTTTTGATAGAATTCTTCAGTTGATTTAAGATTTTAAACTTGCATGAAATATTTAGATATGAATTTCACATACACAGGTGAATTACAATTTAAAAAATGACTGAAATTTGTACATAAATCGTCAACATGAAAATAGATTTGTGTTTACTTCTATATAAGTACAGTGAAACCTGACTTTACAGCACCTGACTAACCAACATTGACTTACCGCACCCCTGACTAACCAACATTGACTTACCAGACATCTGACTAACCAACATTGTCTTAACAGACCCCTGACTAACAGACATCTGACGCACCAACATTGACTTACCGGACCCCTGACTAACAGACATCTGACTAACCAACATTGACTTACCAGACATCTGACTAACCAACATTGACTTACCAGACATCTGACTAACCAACATTGACTTACCAGACATCTAACTAACCAACATTGACTTAACAGACCCCTGACTGACAGACATCTGACTAACCAACATTGACTTACCGGACATCTGACTAACCAACATTGACTTACCGGACATCTGACTAACCAACATTGACTTACCAGACATCTGACTACCCAACATTGACTTAACAGACCCCTGACTAACGGACACTTGACTAACCAACATTGACTTACTGGACCCCTGACTAACCAACATTGACTTACAAGACCCCTGACTAACCAACATTAGTTACCGGACCCCTGACTAACCAACATTGACTTAACAGACACCTGACTAACAGACATCTGACTAACCAACATTGACTTTCCAGACATCTGACTAACCAACATTGACTTAACAGACACCTGACTAACAGACATCTGACTAACCAACATTGACTTTCCAGACATCTGACTAACCAACATTGACTTAACAGACACCTGACTAACAGACATCTGACTAACCAACATTGACTTACCGGACACCTGACTAACCAACATTGACTTACCAGACCCCTCACTAACCAACATTGATTTACCGGACCCCTGACTAACAAACATTGACTTACAAGACCCCTGACTAACCAACATGACTTACCGGGCCCCTGACTAACCAACATTGACTTACCAGACATCTGACTAACCAACATTGACTGAACAGACCCCTGACTAACAGACATCTGACTAACCAACATTGACTTACCGGACATCTGACGAACCAACATTGACTTAACAGACCCCTGACTAACGGACACTTGACTAACCAACATTGACTTCCCGGACCCCTGACTAACCAACATTGACTTAACAGACACCTGACTAACAGACATCTGACTAACCAACATTGACTTACCAGACATCTGACTAACCAACATTGACTTACCGGACATCTGACGAACCAACATTGACTTAACAGACCCCTGACTAACGGACACTTGACTAACCAACATTGACTTACTGGACCCCTGACTAACCAACATTGACTTACCAGACCCCTGACTAACAGACATCTGACTTACCGGACCCCTGACTAACCAACATTGACTTACCAGACCCCTGACTAACCAACATTGATTTACCGGACCCCTGACTAACCAACATTGACTTAACAGACATCTGACTTACCAACATTGACTTACCGGACCCCTGACTAACCAACATTGACTTACCGGACCCCTGATTAACCAACATTGATTTACCGGACCCCTGACTAACAGACACCTGACTTTAACAACCTCGATGTCATAAATGTCAGCTTTCAATGTTACTTACACATTTCGTTATGTAAATTAGTTTTATTCTTACTTTACATCTGGTTTGTTGTGAGTAACTGTTAAAGCCTGGGCAGTTTATTACGAATGTCTATCATATAGAGATAGGAGTAAAAGGATGTTTTTTTTTTATTATTTACCTTAGGTTTTACATGTCAATCATGATTATATACTATATATACATTTGTATATTTATTGTAAACTAACCCAGTGATATTTTCCGATGCAGATTTACTATGTTCTGACATCACAATATGTTGATCAAGTTGAGTTCGACTCGTTTCCCTCGGCTGATCATGGCCTACGTTTTCCACTTGATAATTAGCTTTATTTATATAAACATTTTTAAATAGTTCCTTGAGACACTGTAACTTTATAGACTGGCCAATGGCCTCAAAGTCCATATACTTTATGTGACTGACCAGTGCTTAAACTAAATGAGTCTTGGCCCTTGTAACATGGGTACTTGACTTGAGGATATGTGTTATTACTTGGCTTTGATGATACGATGTTCCAAAGTAGGTCTAAACCATATGCCTGCACCTCGACCCCACTGGAACACTTCAGATTATTTTTCTAGCATCAGGTTTATTGGTTATATACATGCTACACTATTAGAAAAGCTCTGAATCTCAGGCAAATGTTGTTTAAGGGAGATAACTCTTAAATAAAGTTCAAATATTGATCATTATAACTCCGCTGTATTGTACAAGAAATTTGTATGTGTATATGCCTAGGTGTTCAGATAAGTCGGAGAATAAAAAGATAAATTATTCAAATTGTTTCAAAGTTGTATTCTAAATGCTCATGCAGACTATCCTGTAGACCCTCAAGTTCATCGTCTTGCACATTGCCAGTACATTATGATTTACTGCATTAAATTGGAAAACAGGAACATTTTCAGTGATTTGACACACGGCCAGTCAACCTAAAGAGGTTACGTCCTAGGTACAGAGTTATGTTCCTCAGCATTTTATTCCTTAATGCAAAGAATGATTTAAAAGCACCTAATGGAATCCTATTTCAATATATACTGATTCATAATTAAAAAATAACAGAAAATAAATTAACGAAAATAGGCAACTTTATTCCATGAATACCTTCAATAATAACAGACTGATGATTTAAAATCAATTAAGTGAGATTCTCAATGAAGTGATGATCGATTCATGTCCAATACAGAAAATGTATTCTCATTTTAATCTTCAAGCTCCAAGGAGTAGAGAAAAACTTACAAAATTGGGTCTATAAATCTTGAATCAGATACGGGTTTTATTTCTGCTATGATCTGTATATTACAAAATTATTAGCTTTTCTCTGTACAACCTGCATGATTCCATGTAAATCATGCTGTCCCACCTTTGCAACATTAGAAAGTATTGTGTGTTTTGATATCATTTAAAACTATGAAGTAATAGATAAGCAATGAGGTGATGAAACCTATAGGCTATTAGTAGAGCAGTAATGAGATAAATTAGCATTAAAACTCCTTGGTACTTTGTAGGCAGTCTTGCTGCTTCAACATTTTGTTCAATATCATATACCGACAGTTTTGTGAAGACAAATATTGATGCAGTGACTATTTTGACAGAAATTCTAAAATTTGGTGATAATCACAATTCACTAGAAGATGATGCCCCTTAATCCAAACCAGTAAAGTTCTGTACATTCAATCATCCTGACTGAAATTTGTTCGTAAAGGCATAACCATCTGTGCAATGTCTGTGGCTGTCTCACTGCGCAGTGCGTTGGCTGCATGTGTAAGCTGTAGTGCAGCGTCTGGGTGAGCTGTTCCAGGTAACATGGTACACTCACGCTCCAACATAGTGGCCATGCCTTCCAGTAATTCATGGAAACCAAACCCCAGGGCTGCCCTCCTCAGTCTGTTTAACTCCTGTGTAAGATATAGAGTGAAGCATATAGGACCTATACAACCAAACCCCAGTGCTGCCCTCCTCAGTCTGTTTAACTCCTGTGTAAGATATAGAGAGTGAAGAGCATAGGACCTACATAATGAAATCACTTGTGTGATTGCTTGAAATTAACATGTAAAGTTATTTATGTAAATTAAACATGGCATTCAACATGTGGTCATGTTACCGTGGTAATGTTATGATTTGTTACCATGGTTTAATTAGATGTTATGGTTTGTTATCATGGTTTAATTAGATGTTATGGTTTGTTACCATGGTTTAATAGGATGTTATGGTTTGTTACCATGGTTTAATAGGAAGTTATGGTTTGTCACTATGGTTTAATTGGATGTTATGGTTTGTAACCATGGTTTAATGAGATGTTATGGTTTGTCACTATGGTTTAATTGGAGGTTATGGTTTGTCACTATGGTTTAATTGGAGGTTATGGTTTGTCACTATGGTTTAATTGAATGTTATGGTGTAAGATATAGAGTGAAGCGTATAAGACCTACAAAAACAAACCCCAGGGCTGCCATCCTCAGTCTGTTTACCCCCTGTGTAACATATAGAGAGTGAAGACTATAGGACCTACACAACGAAATCACTTGTGTGATTGCTTGAAATTAACATGTAAAGTTATTTATGTAAATTAAACATGGCATTCAACATGTGGTCATGTTACCGTGGTAATGTTATGATTTGTTACCATGGTTTATTAAGATATGTAGATCTGACAAATCACTTAAGTCAACAGCTATTAGTTTACCTTCTTTTGCAGTTATATGTTTACGCACAATTCTATTGATATTTTTGCTGGTACATTTTACCTTTATTCATTTAAACTGTTCATACATTCCCTATGTTTACATTGAAACCAGGAACATTATGTAAAGTTAATATATAGAGAGTGAAGAGAATAGGACCTACACAACGAAATCACTTGTGTGCTTGCTTGAAATTAACATGTAAAGTTATTTATGTAAATTAAACATGGCATTCAACATGTGGTCATGTTACCGTGGTAATGTTATGATTTGTTACCATGGTTTAATAGGATGTTATGGTTTGTAACAATGGATTAATTAGTTTATGTTTTGTAACCATGGTTTAATAGGATGTTATGGTTTGTAACAATGGATTAATTAGTTTATGTTTTGTAACCATGGTTTATATAGAGTGAAGCATATTGGGCCTATTCAACCAAACCCCAGTGCTGCGCTCCTCAGTCTGTTTACCTCCTGTGTAAGATATAGAGAGTGAAGAGTATAGGACCTACATAACGAAATCACTTGTGTGATTGCTTGAAATTAACATGTAAAGTTATTTATGTAAATTAAACATGGTATTCAACATGTGGTCATGTTACCGTGGTAATGTTATGATTTGTTACCATGGTTTAATAGGAAGTTATGGTTTGTCACCATGGTTTAATTGAATGTTATGGTTTGTCACTATGGTTTAATTGAATGTTATGGTTTGTAACCATGGTTTAATAGGATGTTATGGTTTGTCACCATGGTTTAATTGAATGTTTTGGTTTGTCACCATGGTTTAATTGAATGTTATGGTTGGTCACTATGGTTTAATTGGATGTTATGGTTTGTAACCATGGTTTAATAGGATGTTATGTTTTGTCACCATGGTTTAATTGAATGTTATGGTTTGTCACTATGGTTTAATTGGAGGTTATGTTTTGTCACCATGGTTTAATTGAATGTTATGGTTTGTCTCTATGGTTTAATTGGATGTTATGGTTTGTAACAATGGATTAATTAGTTTATGGTTTGTAACCATGGTTTAATAGGATGTTATGGTTTGTAACCATGGTTTAATTGGATGTTATGGTTTGTTACTAAGGTTTATTAGGATGTTATGGTTTGTTACCATGGTTTCATTAGATATTATGATTTGTAACTATGGTTTATTAGGATGTTATGGTTTGTCACTATGGTTTAATTGGATGTTATGGTTTGTAACCATGGTTTAATAGGATGTTATGGTTTGTCACCATGGTTTAATTGAATGTTATGGTTTGTCACTATGGTTTAATAGGATGTTATGGTTTGTCACTATGGTTTAATTGGATGTTATGGTTTGTCACTATGGTTTAATTGGATGTTATGGTTTGTCACCATGGTTTAATTGAATGTTATGGTTTGTCACTATGGTTTAATTGGATGTTATGGTTTGTAACAATGGATTAATTAGTTAATGGTTTGTAACCATGGTTTAATAGGATGTTATGGTTTGTAACCATGGTTTAATTGGATGTTATGATTTGTAACTAAGGTTTATTAGGAGGTTATGGTTTGTTATCATGGTTTCATTATATGTTATAATTTGTAACTATGGTTTAATTGGATGTTATGGTTTGTAACTATGGTTTAATAGGATGTTATGGTTTGTGACCATGGTTTAATTGGATGTTATGGTTTGTAACCATGGTTTAATTGGATGTCATGGTTTGTAACCATGGTTTAATTAGATGTTATGGTTTGTTACCATGGTTTAATTAGATGTTATGGTTTATTACCATGGTTTAATTAGATGTTATGGTTTATTACCATGGTTTAGTTAGATGTTATGGTTTGTTACTGTGGTTTAATTAGATGTTATGGTTTGTTACCATGGTTTATTAAGATATGTAGATTTGACAAATCACTTAAGTCAACAGCTATTTGTTTACCTTCTTTTGCAGTTATATGTTTACGCACAATTCTATTGATATTTTTGCTGGTACATTTTAACTTTATTCATTTAAACTGTTCATACATTCACTATGTTTACATTGAAACCAGGAACATTATGTAAAGTTAATATACAGCAAAAGTATTATGAAAGACAGTATCATACTTTGGTACCAAAGATATACCGTATTTATTCAATTACCTTATAAAACTGTTGTTGTTTATCTGGAAGTTTTCTTGCATGTCTTAGCACCTTTTGTAAGTCACTCTGAAATAACAAAATCAATATTGAGGTAGGTATAAATATATTTTAGTTACAGTCTTAATTACTTTTTACAGCATTAACTCCCAGTTAACTTTGACCTTGAAACCCGCTGAATTTTGTTGTCATATTTTTGCTTAATGTGTCTCAATCTATGGACTGAAATCTATTAAAATTATGACCCTGGAATTAAAGTGATAAGTAACAATAGCTGCTGGAGAACAGCATAGCTTGCCTATTTTAAATTACCAAATATCAATAGAAATACATGTATCTTGTATTGTTTTGTTTCTTAACTTGTATGGTTATTTTGAACATCTATTATTGTTGCAAAATGTAGATAACCATAAAAAATATGGACTACAGTGAAGACATAGTGTTATATACCCGAATATCACAATATAACAATATGGACTACAGTGAAGTTATAGTGTTATGTACCCAAATATCACAATGTAACAATAAAAGACCTTTGAAATTAACATAGAAAAGGAAACCTTTGAAAGTTGCACTGCATCATAAAGTGTTCCAAAGCAAGTTGACACAAGGCATCACAAGTGATACAAATCCCCTCACATTCACACATTGCGATAACATGTGTATGTTAGAGGAAATGAAGTCAGTAGATCGATGACAAAGTTTTATCTAAAAATGGTAGCAGTGACCTTGACCTTCAACGAAGAAAGCGGAAACGCAAACTTGTCTAAGGCAATGTTGTACCAAACACTTGCATGAAGTTTCATGAAATTCCGTTCAGTAATGACAAAGTTTTTTTCTAAAAATAGTAACAGTGACCTTGACCTTTAATATAGAAACCTGCAACATGAACTTGTTCAAGGCATTTCCATACCAAACACTTGTACCAAAGTTCATAAAATTCCTTTGAGGAATGAAGTCGGTAGAGCAATGACAAAGAGTGTAACATATGTACGGGCGGAATCCTATATCCCCTTGAACTTTCGTTGCAATGGGATAATTAAATGTATGCCCTTGTAGCCCCTAGAGTATGAATATTGGTTCAGCTCATTGTTTAATTCTTTTAAGACCTCAACCCTGTAATATTCAACAGCCTATTGAGTGAGGTGATACGACATTGCAAAAAAGATCTTCCTAAAAAACTTGCATCAAATCCAATTGATTTGGTTTTTGGCCCCTAAAATATGAAAATATGGTTCAGCACATTGCTTACTCTCCATGTTAATGCCTCAGCCTTATAACAATCGGCAGCCTATTGATTGTGGTGATCTAACATAGCACGAAAATACTTGGTATAAAACTTAAACCAAATGCTTGCTCAAGAACTTTAACCTCATTTAAGCAGTTTTTAGCCCCTGAAATATTGAAATGGATTGAAAATATGGTTCAGCACATTGCTTACATTCCATATCATTAAGATTGTGTATATGGAATATCTTAAGTCATATTAGTGAATGCCAACACTTGCGTCTTAACTAATTTGCAGTTTTGGTGAAAAATGTTCGGTAAAAAGCAGGATTTTTTAATTATTTTTTTTAAAATTTCTTGTAATGTTAATGATCTTCAACACTTGCAACAGAACCTTATGTCCAAACCAGGTCAAAAATTAAACAAGAGGCCCAGAGGGCCTGTATCGCTTACCTGTTTCTTTTGTTACATGAAACTGACATATACAATGTAGGTAACTTCAGACCAATTTGGTAACTAGAACACAAGTCATTTTAACATCTCTTAAACGGTTCTGAAGATATTGTTGTTTGAAATATAAAAATTTAATTTTAAAGCTTTTAACCCACATTGACCTTTGACTCCGGCTAGCACTTAAAGTTGACATTTGACCTCATTACTGTAATAAAGAAAATGATTCACAGTTGGTCTACATAACATACCAAAGTATAGACTCTAGACCAAATGCTTCTGAGGATATTGTTGTTTGAAGTTTTTAACATATTTGACCCCTGTGACCTTGAAACTAGGTCAAGGTCATTTTAATGAGGATACTTTATAGCACTGCATCCAAGGTACCTACTGGCCAAATATCATGATCCTGGGCCTTATGGAACTTGAGAAGAAGATTGTTAAAGCTTTTAACCCATGTTGTCGTTTGACTAGCACTGAAAGTTGACCTTTGACCTCATTACTGTAATTGAAGAAACGATTCGCACTACTGGTTTTCATAACATACCCAAGTATGATGACTCTAGTCCAAATGGTTCTAAGAATATTGTTGTTTGAAGTTTTAAACATGTTTGACCCCATGTGACCTTGAAAGTAATTCAAGGTCATTTTCATGAGGAAACTTTATAGCACTCCACCCATGGTACCAACTGGCCAAATATCATGACCCTAGGTCCTACAGTTCTTCAGGTGAAGTCGTTCAAAAGAAAAAGTTGACGGACGGACGACGGATGCTGCAGTACGGCATAAGCCCACCTGGCCCTTGGCCAGGTGAGCTAAAAAATTCAACATATTTTTCTGTTTTTACTACCCTACATGAATGTCAAAATTGTAAGGAACCTTAATGCCAAATATCAGCATCCTATTCCAAATATTCCATGNAAATATCAGCATCCTATTCCAATGGAAAAAGGCGTGTTTTATTCTGTTTATTACATATTTACTAATAAAAACTACTATCTTATGATTTTTTTTCATTTTTGAAATATTGAAAAACANAGACCCACTGTTTATACAAAATTGGTTCCCCTTCACCCAAGGATGCTTCAGACCAAATATGGAACAAATCCTTTTATTCCTACAGAAGAAGAAGGATTTTAAAGAATTTGCTATGTTTCCCCTATTTGGCCCCGCCCCTTGGGCCCCTGGGAGGCCAGACCCACTGTTTATACAAAATTGGTTCCCCTTCACCCAAGGATGCTTCAGACCAAATATGGAACAAATCCTTTTATTCCTACAGAAGAAGAAGGATTTTAAAGAATTTGCTATGTTTCCCCTATTTGGCCCCGCCCCTTGGGCCCCTGGGAGGCCAGACCCACTGTTTATACAAAATTGGTTCCCCTTCACCCAAGGATGCTTCAGACCAAATATGGAACAAATCCTTTTATTCCTACAGAAGAAGAAGGATTTTAAAGAATTTGCTATGTTTCCCCTATTTGGCCCCGCCCCTTGGGCCCCTGGGAGGCCAGACCCACTGTTTATACAAAATTGGTTCCCCTTCACCCAAGGATGCTTCAGACCAAATATGGAACAAATCCTTTTATTCCTACAGAAGAAGAAGGATTTTAAAGAATTTGCTATGTTTCCCCTATTTGGCCCCGCCCCTTGGGCCCCTGGGAGGCCAGACCCACTGTTTATACAAAATTGGTTCCCCTTCACCCAAGGATGCTTCAGACCAAATATGGAACAAATCCTTTTATTCCTACAGAAGAAGAAGGATTTTAAAGAATTTGCTATGTTTCCCCTATTTGGCCCCGCCCCTTGGGCCCCTGGGAGGCCAGACCCACTGTTTATACAAAATTGGTTCCCCTTCACCCAAGGATGCTTCAGACCAAATATGGAACAAATCCTTTTATTCCTACAGAAGAAGAAGGATTTTAAAGAATTTGCTATGTTTCCCCTATTTGGCCCCGCCCCTTGGGCCCCTGGGAGGCCAGACCCACTGTTTATACAAAATTGGTTCCCCTTCACCCAAGGATGCTTCAGACCAAATATGGAACAAATCCTTTTATTCCTACAGAAGAAGAAGGATTTTAAAGAATTTGCTATGTTTCCCCTATTTGGCCCCGCCCCTTGGGCCCCTGGGAGGCCAGACCCACTGTTTATACAAAATTGGTTCCCCTTCACCCAAGGATGCTTCAGACCAAATATGGAACAAATCCTTTTATTCCTACAGAAGAAGAAGGATTTTAAAGAATTTGCTATGTTTCCCCTATTTGGCCCCGCCCCTTGGGCCCCTGGGAGGCCAGACCCACTGTTTATACAAAATTGGTTCCCCTTCACCCAAGGATGCTTCAGACCAAATATGGAACAAATCCTTTTATTCCTACAGAAGAAGAAGGATTTTAAAGAATTTGCTATGTTTCCCCTATTTGGCCCCGCCCCTTGGGCCCCTGGGAGGCCAGACCCACTGTTTATACAAAATTGGTTCCCCTTCACCCAAGGATGCTTCAGACCAAATATGGAACAAATCCTTTTATTCCTACAGAAGAAGAAGGATTTTAAAGAATTTGCTATGTTTCCCCTATTTGGCCCCGCCCCTTGGGCCCCTGGGAGGCCAGACCCACTGTTTATACAAAATTGGTTCCCCTTCACCCAAGGATGCTTCAGACCAAATATGGAACAAATCCTATTATTCCTACAGAAGAAGAAGGATTTTAAAGAATTTGCTATGTTTCCCCTATTTGGCCCTGCCCCTCAGGCCCCGGTTTATACAAAATTGTTCCCCCTTTAACCAAGGATGATTCAGACCAAATATGGAACAAATCCTTTCATTCCTACAGAAGAAGAAGGATTTTAAAGAATATGCTATATTTCCCCTATTGGGCCCCGCCCCTCAGCCCCAAGGGAGGCCACACCCATCATTTATACAAAATTTGTTCCCCTTCCCATAAGGATGCTTCTGACCAAATTTGGTCAAAATCTGCTCAGTCGTTCATGACTAGTAGCGTTTTAAAGGAAAAGTTAACGGACGGACGACGCTGTATGGCATAAGCTCACCATGGTCCTTCGGACCAGGTGAGCTAAAAACCTGTATTTATTAGTAAGTATGTAATAAAAAGAATGTCAATACTTGCACCAAAACCCCTATCTATTAAAATCTTGCAAATACGTTAAGTCCAAAACAGATTAAAAATTTATAAAAATAAAATATTTTTATGTTTTCACTGTGTTACATCAATATTAAACCCGTAATGAACATCCATGCTGTACAAGTAATATTAGTGACTGTCAATGCTCAATCTAAACCAATGCCAACGCCAATGAAGGCACTGGGGTGACTACATAGACCCCCCCCCCCCATTAACAAATAGACAAGCTAAGCTTCTGTACATCTTCCCTTTACCTCAAGCTTACCTGTTACCCTTTACTTCAAGCTTACCTGTTACCCTGATGGTTCAAGCTTACCTGTAACCCTGATGGTTTAATCCACACAACACAGCTCTGTGCATAGCTACGTTTATCCAGAGGTCGTACAGGAAATGGGGTCTTGTTGTCATCTTCTCCATATGGTGGATCAGGGAAGTCTGATATTGGGGCGAGGTTGTTCATAGGACCAAGCCAGTTAATGGGCTCCTGACCTGTATGTGTATGGTACGGTCAATTTAACACATAGATAGAATTCTTTTCAGCCTTATATATTTTGGTTTTTAGGTCACCTGAGCTTTAGCCCAAGTGACCTATTGCTATCCGTCTTCGTCCGTCGTCGTGCGTCGTGTGCATTCGTTAACATTTCACATTTTCAACTTAAGCTGAAAAAATGTCAAAGGGATTTTGTTGATACTTCATGGGAATGTTAATGACAACTCCCTGACCAAGTGTTGTTTCTTTTTGGGTCGATAAGAAATCCAATATGGCCGCCACTTTGAAAAACTATGTCAAACTTAAAGTCATGTTCTACTAGGCTGATTTAACTGAAATGTGGTAGGAATGATCAACTCATGGTCCTGACAAAGTGATGTTAATTTTCGGGTCGATCAGAAATCCAATATGGCCGCCACGGCCGCCATTTTGAAAAACTATTACAAACTTAAAGTCAAGTTCAACTGGGCCTATTTAACTGAAACTTGGTAGGAATGATCAACTCATGGTCCTGACAAAGTGTTGTTATTTTTTGGGTAGATCAGAAATCCAATATGGCCACCATTTTAAAAAACTATTTCAAACTTGAAGGAAAGTTCTACTGGGCCAATTTAACTGAAACTTGGTAGGAATGATCAATTCATGGTCTTGGCAAACTTAACTTAAAGTTATACTTAACTTTTTTTACTCAAATTTTGGTAGGGATGATTGACATCATTATCTCTACTTCATATTTCGACAACAAAAATTAATACTGTAGGACTCAGGTGACCGTTAGGGCCCAAAGGCCTCTTGTTATAATTGAAAGCATTCTTTCCTCAAATTTAGTGACGGTCATATAGCATAAGTGATGGTCATATAGCATTAGTGATGGTCATATAGCATTAGTGACGGTCATATAGCATAAGTGATGGTCATATATTATTAGTGATAGTCATATAGCATAAGTGATGGTCATATAGCATAAGTGATGGTCATATAACATTAGTGATGGTCAAATAGCATAAGTGATAGTCATATAGCATAAGTGATGGTCATAAAGCATAAGTGATGGTCATATAGCATTAGTGATGGTCATATAACATTAGTGATGGTCATATAGCATAAGTGATGGTCATATATCATAAGTGATGGTCATATATCATAAGTGATGGTCATATAGCATAAGTGATGGTCATATAGCATAAGTGATGGTCATATAGCATAAGTGATGGTCATATAGCATTAGTGATGGTCATATAGCATTAGTGATGGTCATATAGCATAAGTGATGGTCATATAGCATTAGTGATGGTCATATAGTATTAGTGATGGTCATATAGCATAAGTGATGGTCATATAACATAAGTGATGGCCATATAGCATAAGTGATGATCATATAGCATTAGTGATAGTTATATTACAATAGTTTTCAGCATATTGAGTTAGTGGTGAACTTCTCTGTGATATTATTTACCTAGACAATGGCATAATATCTTCTCATATTATCCTAGCCTTGGTCAATTTTTTTATATTTCCCATCATGATATTTAGCAGTTGTCATATCATGTCAGCTGTCATTACATTACATGTAGTTGTTGTGAAGATGTGAAAGTCAAATGAATCAATCAGAAAGTGTTTGAAAGATGACTAGGTAGTAATTAATGACTCAAAAGTAACCACACAGTATTATGATATAAACAAGGAGAGCTTACCTGGTTCTAAAATAGACAACATCAGGTTACTTTTCTTCTTACTGTCTGCCCAAGAGTACAGGAGGCCATACCAGTCTGGACTGTCGGTAAAACACACAAACTTACAACCAGTTCAACAACACAAACAATACCCCACACCCTGCTTTGTTAATGACCATCAAGTTAGAAAAATCAAAGACAACAAAGCTGTCTCTACCTACCTGAATATTGTATAAGGGATACCCTCCCCACAAAGCTGGCACTACATACCTGAATATTGTATTAGGGATACTTACCCCACCAAGCTGGCTCTACATACCTGCATATTGTATAAGGGATACCCTACCCACAAAGCTGGCTCTACATACCTGAATATTGTATAAGGGATACCCTCTCCACAAAGCTGGCACTACATACCTGAATATTGTATTAGGGATACTTACCCCACAAAGCTGGCTCTACATACCTGAATATTGTATAAGGGATACCCTCCCCACAAAGCTGGCTCTACATTACCAACTTTTGTAAGGGCCAACATCCCCACAAAGCTGGCTCTACATACCTGAATATTGTATTAGTGATACCATCCCCACAAAGCTGGCACTACATACCTGAATATTGTATAAGGGATACCATCCCCACAAAGCTGGCACTACATATACCTGAATATTGTATATGGGATACCTGAATATTGTATTAGGGATACCTACCCCACAAAGCTGGCACTACATACCTGAATATTGTATTAGGGATACCATCCCCACAAAGCTGGCACTACATACCTAAATATTGTATTAGGGATACAATCCCCACAAAGCGGGCTCTACATTACCAACTTTTTTAAGGGCCAACATCCCCACAAAGCTGGGTCTACATACCTGAATATTGTATTAGGGATACCATCCCCACAAAGCTGGCACTACATATACCTGAATATTGTATATGGGATACCATCCCCACAAAGCTAGCTCTACATACCTGAATATTGTATTAGGGATACCATCCCCACAAAGCTGGCTCTACATACCTGAATATTGTATTAGGGATACCATCCCCACAAAGCTAGCTCTTCATACCTGAATATTGTATTAGGGATACCATCCCCACAAAGCTGGCTCTACCTACCCAATTTTTGTAAGGGCCACCATCCCCTCCACCTTCAGACTGCCATGAAGAAGCACAGTGAATGCTGGAACTTTCCCCTCATCATGACTAACAGCTGACTCATCCTCTTCTTCAGTTTTCACATCCTTACTTGCTTCTTCATACATTAAATACATAATTGAATAATGTAGAAAATTTGCAGTTGTTAAGTTCTAATTTCCCTTAAACTTATTATTCTTTGTCACACTTGTATTACAAATAAGTATGTCTATTTAAGGATTGAATTCTGTTTTGTTGAGGTTTATGGGGTATAAACCTCAAATGGTCTTGAGACAAATTTTATGAACTGCGAAGTCTCAAGACCCATTGAGGTTTATACCCCATAAACCTCAACAAAATGGGATTATATTCTTATATTTACATTCAGAGTGATATTGATACTTGTTCGGATAATTTCTAAAATATCGGTCTTGTGCAAGTCTAACACCACGGAAGGTATCAAAACTAATGACGTCATAACTCACTGTGAGACGTCGTCCTGGTAAGATGAATAAGCAAATTAAGATATAAATTATTTTTTGAATTCAATTGAATACTTCTGACATTTTTTTTTTTTTTATAAAACAATCTAAGAATGGAACTCCTTCCCGCGCTGCGCGGAATAACAGAGTAATCAGGTTGATAATATGCTGATGTATTCATACGCCAACTGAAAAGTTCATTGAAAAATAACCTTTAAAATGTTAAGTAGGTATATTGAGTCCAAGTTCAGTAGAAATGTAAATATTGTGAATTGTACTCCTCAAATATACTCCCTTTATTATATACTCCCACCATGGCTATTCTATCAAACCCCCACCATGGCTATTCTTTTAAACCCCCAACATCCTTACATTCTATATACCGGTATGTATTATAGTAATCATTATAGACACCAACAATAATAAATTCTACCTAATTATAATAGTAACCTCGACACTGCCAATAAATTCCTGCTCCAACCCCCTTCATATTTAGAATAGCATCCCTGCCCCTCACCCCTTTCTTATTCAGAATAGCATCCCTGCTCCATCCCCTTTATGTTTAGAATAGCATCCCTGCTCCAACCCCCTTCATATTTAGAATAGCATCCCTGCCTCCAACCCCCTTCATATTTAGAATAGCATCCCTGCTCCAACCCCTTCATGTTTAGAATAGCATCCCTGCCCCCCAACCCCTTCATGTTTAGAATAGCATCCCTGCTCCAACCCCCTTCACATTTAGAATAGCATCCCTGCTCCAACCCCTTCATGTTTAGAATAGCATCCCTGCCTCCAACCCCCTTCACATTTAGAATAGCATCCCTGCTCCAACCCCTTCATGTTTAGAATAGCATCCCTGCTCCAACCCCCTTCACATTTAGAATAGCATCCCTGCTCCAACCCCTTCATGTTTAGAATAGCATCCCTGCTCCAACCCCCTTCATGTTTAGAATAGCATCCCTGCTCCAACCCCTTCATGTTTAGAATAGCATCCCTGCCCCAACCCCCTTCATATTTAGAATAGCATCCCTGCTCCATCCCCTTCATGTTTAGAATAGCATCCCTGCCCCTCAACCCCCTTCATATTTAGAATAGCATCCCTGCTCCAACCCCCTTCATATTTAGAATAGCATCCCTGCTCCAACCCCTTCATGTTTAGAATAGCATCCCTGCCCCAACCCCCTTCATATTTAGAATAGCATCCCTGCTCCATCCCCTTCATGTTTAGAATAGCATCCCTGCCCCTCAACCCCCTTCATATTTAGAATAGCATCCCTCCTCCAACCCCCTTCATATTTAGAATAGCATCCCTGCTCCAACCCCTTCATGTTTAGAATAGCATCCCTGCTCCAACCCCCTTCACATTTAGAATAGCATCCCTGCTCCAACCCCTTCATGTTTAGAATAGCATCCCTGCCCCCAACCCCTTCATGTTTAGAATAGCATCCCTGTCCCCAACCCCTTCATATTTAGAATAGCATCCCTGCCCCCAACCCCTTCATGTTTAGAATAGCATCCCTGTCCCCAACCCCTTCATATTTAGAATATCATCCCTGCCCCCAACCCCTTCATGTTTAGAATAGCATCCCTGCCCCCCAACCCCTTCATATTTAGAATAGCATCCCTGCTCCAACCCCCTTCACATTCAGAATAGCATCCCTGCTCCAAACCCCTTCATATTTAGAATAGCATCCCTGCTCCAACCCCCTTCATATATAGAAATAGCATCCCTGCCCCCAACCCCTTCTTGTTTAGAATAGCATCCCTGCTCCAACCCCCTTCATATTTAGAAATAGCTATTATATTTAACTTGTAAATCATGTTACTCTAACATTTTGCAGTCTCACAATGGTTTTTTTCTGTACAACCAAACACTTGTCTGGAAAAGTAGAAATCTAACACAAATTAAGTGGTTATGACAAAATTATAGGCAAACAATTACAAAATAGAGCTGATCCAGAAAAGGTTTTTAAGGGAGGGGTGTGAAGTACTTTTTCAGAGAACCCAACCTCATGTCTTGTTAGCGTTATAAGTGATTCCCTCCGACATGACAATACTTATGTCTTGTTAGTGTTATAAGTGATTCCCACGGACATGACAATACTTATGTCTTGTTAGCATTATAAGTGATTCCCTTCGACATGACAACACTTATGTCTTGTTAGCGTTATAAGTGATTCCCTCCGACAGGACAATACTTATGTCTATTTAGCGTTATAAGTGATTCCCTTCGACATGACAATACTACAATACTTATGTCTTGTAAGTGTTATAAGGGATTCCCTCCGACATGAGAACACTTATGTCTTGTTTGCATTATAAGTGATTTCCTTGGACATGACAATAATTATGTCTTTTTTGCGTTTTAAGTGATTCCCTCCGACATGACAACACTTATGTCTTGTTTGCATTATAAGTGATTTCCTTGGACATGACAATAGTTATGTCTTGTTAGTGTTATAAGGGATTCCCTCGGACATGACAATAATTAGGTCTTGTTAGCGTTATAAGGGATTCCCTTGGACATGACAATAATTAGGCCTTGTTAGCGTTATAAGGGATTCCCTCCGACATGACAAAACTTATGTCTTGTTAGCATTATAAGTGATTCCCTCGGACATGCCAATACTTATGTCTTGTTATCGTTATAAGTGATTCCCTCAGACATGACAACACTTATGTATTGTTAGGGTTATAAGTGATTCCCTCCGACAGGACAATACTTATGTCTATTTAGCGTTATAAATGATTCCCTCCGACATGACAATAATTATGTCTTTTTTGCGTTATAAATGATTCCCTTCGACATGACATCGCTTATTTCTTGTTAGCGGTATAAGTGATTCCCTCCCACATAACAACACTTATGTCTTGGTAGCGGTATAAGTGATTCCCTCCGATATGACAATAATTATGTCTTTTTTGCGTTATAAATGATTCCCTCCGACATGTCAATAATTATGTCTTGTTTGCGTTATAAGTGATTCCGTTCGACATGACAACACTTATATGTCTTGTTAGCGTTACAAGTGATTCCCTTGGACATGAAAATATTTATGTCTTGTTAGCGTGATAAGTGACTCCCTCCGACATGACAAAACTTATGTCTTGTTAGCGTTAAAAGTAATTCCCTTCGACATGACCATAATTATGTCTTGTTAGAGTTATAAGTGATTTCCTTGGACATGACAATAGTTATGTCTTGTTAGTGTTATCAGTGATTCCCTTGGACATGAAATACTTATGTCTTGTTAGCGGTATAAGGGATTCCCTTGGACATGACGATAATTATGTCTTGTTAACGTTATAAATGATTCCCTCCGACATGTCAATAATTATGTCTTGTTAGCGTTACAAGTGATTCCCTTCGACGTGACAACACTTATGTCTTGGTAGCGGTATAAGTGATTCCCTCCGACCAGACAACCATTATGTCTGGTTAGCGTTATAAGTGATTCTTATAAGTGATTCCCTCCCTCATGACAATATATATGTCTTGTTAGCGTTATAAGTGCTTCCCTTCGACATGACAATACTACAATACTTATGTCTTGTTTGCGTTATAAGGGATTCCCTCCGACATGACAATATTTATGTCTTGTTAGCGTTACAAGTGATTCCCTTGGACATGAAATACTTATGTCTTGTTTGCATTATAAGTGATTTCCTTCGACATGACAATAATTAAGTCTTGTTAGCGTTATAAATGATTCCCTCCGACATGAGAACACTTATGTCTTGTTTGCATTATAAGTGATTTCCTTCGACATGACAATACTACAATACTTATGTCTTGTAAGTGTTATAAGGGATTCCCTTGGACATGAAATACTTATGTCTTGTTAGCATTATAAGGGATTCCCTTGGACATGAAAATATTTATGTCTTGTTAGTGTTATAAGGGATTCCCTCCGACATGAGAACACTTATGTCTTGTTAGCTTTTTAAGTGATTCCCTCCGACATGTCAATAATTATGTCTTGTTTGCGTTATAAGTGATTCCCTTGGACATGAAATACTTATGTCTTGTTAGCATTATAAGAAATTCCCTTCGACATGACAACACTTATGTCTTGGTAGCGGTATAAGTGATTCCCTCCAACCTGACAATTCTTATGTCTTGTTAGCATTAAAAGTGATTCCCTTCGACGTGACAACACTTATGTCTTGTTTGCGTTATAAGTGATTCCTTCCGACAAGACAATACTTAGGTCTTGTTAGCGCTATAAGTGATTCCCTCCAACCTGACAATTCTTATGTCTTGTTAGCATTATAAGTGATTCCCTCGGACATGACAATAATTATGTCTTTTTTGCGTTTTAAGTGATTCCCTCCGACAGGACAATACTAATGTCTTGTTAGCGTTATTAGTGATTCCCTTCGACATTACAATTCTTATGTCTTGTTAGCATTATAAGGGATTCCCTTCGACATGACAATACTACAATACTTATGTCTTGTAGGCGTTATAAGTGATTCCCGTCGACATGAAAATACTTATGTCTTGTTATCGTTATAAGTGATTCCCGTCGACATGAAAATACTTATGTCTTGTTTGCATTATAAGTGATTTCCTTCGACATGACAATACTTAGGTCTTGTTAGCGCTATAAGTGATTCCCTCCAACAGGACAATACTTATGTCTTGCTAGCGTTATAAGTGATTTCCTCCGACATGACAACACTCATGTCTTGTTAGCTTTATAAGTGATTCCCTCAGACATGACAACACTTATATGTCTTGTTAGCGTTAAAAGTAATTCCCTTCGACATGACCATAATTATGTCTTGTTAGCGTGATAAGTGACTCCCTCCGACATGACAACACTTACGTCTTGTTAGCGTTATAAATGATTCCCTCCGACATGAGAACACTTATGTCTTGTTTGCATTATAAGTGATTTCCTTCGACATGACAATACTTCGACATGACAACACTTAGGTCTTGTTAGCGCTATAAGTGATTCCCTCCGACATGAGAACACTTATGTCTTGTTAGCATTATAAGAAATTCCCTTCGACATGACCATAATTATGTCTTGTTAGGCGTTATAAGTGATTCCCGTCGACATGAAAATACTTATGTCTTGTTTGCATTATAAGTGATTTCCTTGGACATGACAATAGTTATGTCTTGTTAGTGTTATCAGTGATTCCCTTGGACATGACGATAATTATGTCTTGTTAATGTCTTGTTAGCGTTATGACAATAATTATGTCTTTTTTGCGTTTTAAGTGATTCCCTCCGACATGTCAATAATTATGTCTTGTTAACGTTATAAATGATTCCCTCCGACATGTCAATAATTATGTCTTGTTTGCGTTATAAGGGATTCCCTTGGACATGAAATACTTATGTCTTGTTTGCATTATAAGTGATTTCCTTCGACATGACAATACTTCGACATGACAACACTTACGTCTTGTTAGCGTTATATGTGATTCCCTCCGACATTACAATAATTATGTCTTGTTTGCGTTATAAGTGATTCCGTTCGACATGACAACACTTACGTCTTGTTAGCGTTATAAGTGCTTCCCTTCGACATGACAACACTTACGTCTTGTTAGCGTTATATGTGATTCCCTCCGACATTACAATAATTATGTCTTGTTAGGGTTATAAGGGATTCCCTCCGACATGAGAACACTTATGTCTTGTTTGCATTATAAGTGATTTCCTTCGACATGACAATACTTAGGTCTTGTTAGCGCTATAAGTGATTCCCTCCGACATTCCCTCCGACATGACAACTCTTATGTCTTGTTAGCTTTTTAAGTGATTCCCTCCGACATTACAATAATTATGTCTTGTCAGCGTTATAAGTGATTCACTCCGACATGACAATACTAATGTCTTGTTAGCGTTAAAAGTAATTCCCTTCGACATGACCATAATTATGTCTTGTTAACGTTATAAATGATTCCCTTCGACATGACGATAATTATGTCTTGTTAATGTCTTGTTAGCGTTATTTATAAGTGTTTCCTCCGACCTGACAACACTCATGTCTTGTTAGCTTTATAAGTGATTCCCTCCGACATGTCAATAATTATGTCTTGTTAGCGTTATAAGTGATTCCCTTGGACATGACAATATTTATGTCTTGTTAGTGTTATAAGTGATTCCCTTGGACATGACAATAATTATGTCTTGTTAGCGTTATAAGTGATTCCCTCCGACATGACAATACTTATGTCTTGTTAGCGTTATAAGTGATTCCCTCCGACATGACAATACTTATGTCTTGTTAGCGTTATAAGTGATTCCCTCCGACATGACAATACTTATGTCTTGTTAGCGTTATAAGTGATTCCCTCCGACATGACAATACTTATGTCTTGTTAGCGTTATAAGTGATTCCCTCCGACATGACAACACTTATGTCTTGTTAGCGTTATAAGTGATTCCCTCCGAAATGACAACACTCATGTCTTGTTAGCGTTATAAGTGATTCCCTCCAACATGACAATACTTATGTCTTGTTAGCGTTATAAGGGATTCCCTTCGACATGACAACACTTATGTCTTGTTAGCATTATAAGTGATTCCCTCCGACATAACAATAATTATGTCTTGTTAGCGTTATAAGTGATTCCCTTCGACATGACAATAATTATGTCTTGTTAGCGTTATAAGTGATTCCCTCCGACATGACAATAATTATGTCTTCTTAGGGTTATAAGTGATTCCCTTCGACATGACAATACTTATGTCTTGTTAGCATTATAAGTGATTCCCTCCGACATGACAATATATATGTCTTGTTAGCGTTATAAGTGATTCCCTTCGACATGACAATACTTATGTGTTGTTAGCATTATAAGTGATTCCCTCCGACATGACAACACTTATGTCTTGTTAGCGTTATAAGGGATTCCCTTCGACATGACAACACTTATGTCTTGTTAGCGTTATAAGGGATTCCCTTCGACATGACAACACTTATGTATTGTTAGCGTTATAAGTGATTCCCTCCGACATGACAATACTTATGTCTTGTAAGTGTTATAAGTGATTCCCTCGGACATGACAATACTTATGTCTTGGTAGCATTATAAGTGATTCCCTTCGACATGACAACCCTTATGTCTTGTTAGCGTTATAAGTGATTCCCTCCGACATGACAGCATTTGGCAAGTGTTTTGATTAAAACTCAGCTTTAAATCATCAGCATAATAGCAAGATTACCTACATTTATCATAAAATCTGGACTGATTTTATATAATGAATAATGTTCAACTCATATAATAAGTAGAATAAGTGTCATATTTGCTGGATAGTAAATTAATATTGGTATTGCTTTTGCTGATATATCTCTATCATATCTTGTTTATTGCAAAACCATACCATTGTTTTGATGATTTTTTGATTGTTTAATAGAAGATTTGACAACATACCTGGGGTTCTTTTCCCTAAAAATATGGTAAAATTTGTAATTATTAAAGAAACAATGTTACATCGTGATGCCAGGAAAAGTTCTCCCTACTTAAAATCCAATCTCCCTACTTCAAAACACAAATCTTCCTGCTTTGTGTTCCAAAGGCATCACATCGATTTATGTGCAGGACTATGTGTAATATAAAAAAAACTCCATTTCATTAGTACTAACCTCGCATCTAGGACAATTTATCTGAACTAATAGTTTTTTTTTTATTCCACATATGGCAATATATATAGCGAATACTTAATTATAGGAGAACCTGCAGACAGTCCAGGTAACAACTGCTCCACCCTCACACACACAACTCACCATCTTTGTTTTCTTTTGAAGAGTTTGGAAACACCAGATGTCTGGATAGAGTCTGAGGACTGGCAGCATCAGCTATATCTAAAAACCCCAGAATTTCCAAAGTATCAGCAATTTCTATGTCAATCGTCTCAAAATCATGATTCCTAGGGAAAAAAATACAAGATAAACATATGAAAATACCAATATGTTTATCGTGTAATCAGATAAAACAATCACTATATTTATGTTGGTTACAAAGTTGAGTGGCTTGCTGTTCAATCTTGAGTTGAAACAAGGAATATCTTTAAAAAACATAAGAGGCAAGGTTTTGATGTATGCAGTTTCCAGTTGAAATAACTGTGTACATATGACATTGCTTAAAACATATGATGTGGCGAAAGGATATTACTTATTTGTGAAAACTATGACTATCGCTCACAGGAGATAAAACGCTTGAATTACAAGTTTCTATAGCATATATGTGTATGGTGCCGCCTACTCATATATCAATTCAGTGTTACTCTTGTGTAACCTAGAGATCATGTAATCGTTAAAGAGATTAATACGTGATCAAAGTGTGGTTTGGTTTGTATCTAAAACAAAGCTTTCATTTCGTAGAAACTGTGTTGTTAAAAATCCTGTATGAGTCGAAAGACACAATGGATCTCAAAATGATCTTAAGCATCTGTACCAAATCCAACTAGCTTTTAAATCCAAAAAACGCTTCATTTTATTTTTATATAAATCGACTCACTGGTCAATGGAATAAGGCATCCCTACCGGTGGTGCCACTTAGTGCATCATATAAAATAGGGGTTGCTTCCCGGCGAATCTCAATTCGATCTTGAACGACTCTGACGAAAACATACAGAACACCTATATTTGAGGGCTTACAACAAACACCAGAACTGCAAATTCACAAGGTTCCGTGAAGGTGAAACCTTACATAACTTGTAAAATAAATTCTGTTCACAATAAAATGTCAATAAATAATAAATCAATAATAAGATCATCAACATTTATACCACTTACTTCCTGTATGGGTCTATTGCTGGGTACAGATGAACCGGACATTTGAAATGACCACACTGTAATGTACCCTGATAGGGTGAATAGCAGCGCTCAGCTAATTGTTCAAAGAGAGTCTGCACACTTTTTAAGCCCAAGGCATTTTCTGGCACCATCACTTCCCCTCCTTGGCCATTGATTTCAATAAGTTTTTCAAACATGGGAATGGCACTTTTGACTTCAGCATCATTAGGATTACCCAGGATAACTACGTTAAGCTTACAGGAAAATGGAAAAGGGAGAGGAAACTTGTCATCACTACTAGAGCCTTCGTACTTGTTCCAGTTATGTAACATAGTTTGTAGTGATCTTTGGCCAGCACCCGTTGAACCGTCGGTGATCAAAATAGCCTGAAATCAGTTGTAAAATGATTAAATGAATTTTGATTGTAAGTTGGAAATGTTAGCAACATTAGAAATATTTTATGTGCAAATGTCTCTTTAATGGAAACTCAAGGTCGTTCCATTACAAATATCAGGTTTTATATGTACATACAAGGTGCTTCAATGGGTAGATGTATATATGAGTCATTTTCACTGAGGGGTTTGGGGGGCATTTTTTACCACTTACCCAGTGTTGATTTGAAACTTAAACACATCTAATATTACTCTCTGCACACCGAGAGAGGTCCAAACATACCTACTGGAACAAATGTTCAGGTCTCTTTGACTACCAGGTCTCATCACTGAGCCAATAGTTTAAAGGTGTCACCAGTAAGTGTTGTGACTTACCTCTATATAAAATAAATAGAAAACTTAGCGTAGAGCAGCGTTACCTGACAGGGAGTTATGGCACTCCATTGTTCGTTGATGACAGAGCTGATTCCAGTCAGTGCAGCTTCTATACTTGTAATGTTGTATTCCTCAACTTTGTTCAATGCTGTCTTTATAGACTCGAAATCCCGTGTAAAACTCACAAGCTGTTCCCAAAGGTAGGAAAAGACCACCTAAAACAAAACTTATAAAAAACAAACTGTCCCCTACCTCAGAAATCTTTGACACACAACATTTTTTTTTTGGTAATTTTTTATTTAGGTTTTTTTCATCAATACAGTGTGCAATACACAAGTACAAACAATATATTCTTATTACATAATCACTTACATATACTTTCATTCTTGACATGCTTTCATACATTTAAGTAGTGTACATGTATGTTATGATAGAATAGAAAGATAGGAAAGAAGAACAGGAAGAGAAGAAAGAGTTTGAGAAATAAAAGGGAGTTATATGCAGATCTGTGTTTTTATTTGCACTGCAGTATCTTAGTTAACTCACTCACCACTGAAATTTCATAATGAACTATTCCAACCTTTTAATCAAAAGAGTTCAAATGTGTCTTCAGGGCTGAATGAGTTAAGCATGCAAAAAAATACTGAAACATTCTAGTGTAACTGTTAAGATAGTTTTGGCTAAGCACTGTCGGATGAAACATCAAAACAGACAACTGGTATATGTAAAACAAGAGGCACAGAGAGCCTGTATCGCTCACCTGAATATGTTTAAAATAATTGGTAGGAAGTAAAGATATAGCACTCCATGGTAGGTGCTATAAGTACATATGAAATTTCAGAAAGATCCATCCAGTACTTGAGATAAAGTAAGAACAAACTTCAAACAGAGGGGGGTCATACCCACCAATTATACAAAATTGTGTCCCCTTGGTCCAAGGATGCTCTAGACTAAATATGGATAAAATCCCTTAATCCTGATGGTCGAAGAAGGATATTAATTCTATTTCTCCTATAGGGCCTCGCCTCTCTGCCTCCAGTGGGGTTAGACACACTGTTTATACAAAGTTGGTTCCCCTTCACCCAATGATGCTTCATACCAAATTTGGACAAAATCCTGTCATTAGTACAGAAGAAGAAGATATTTGAAGATTTTGCTATGTTTCCCCTATTGGGCCCCGCCCTTCTGTTCCCATGGGGGCCACACTCACTGTTTATACGAAATTGAGTCACTGAATTTTTGTCCAAGGATGCTCCAGACTAAATTAAGATAAAATCCCTTAATCCATATGGTAGAAGAAGGATTATAAGATTATAGAAGGATTATAAGATTATAAAGGTTTTACTTCTATTTCCCCTATTGGGCCACACCCCTCAAGTCCCACAGGGGCGGGGGGGG